CTGATACCAGGCATGCCTGGACAACAGGGCTAGCCTGGTGTTATTGCTACTTTTAAGATCCAGGGTTGTGGTCACTCTAATACAGAGATATCTCCTTCTAGGGTCAGGATGCCCAGGATTTCCCCCACTTCCTCGGGCTTGCCCTTTATTCGGCCGCAGACATATCCATCAGCCCAGGTCTTGTACTGCAGTGTGCAAGTGTGTGCAGGTGTGGGGACTATGGGCACAGAAGACTGAGGCTTCTGGCCGCCAAGACTCACCCTGAGGACCCCATCGGGCCTTTGTTCTCTAGTGAAACTTCCTCTTCTGTCACCTCCTCCTCAGGGCAAAGGTCAATTTCTAGGCAGCCAGGGCAGGGCTGGGGCTGGTATGGGATGAGCAACAGGTGTGGCTTCCAAGGGCAAGGTTGGGGGTGGGTGGCAGGACCAGGGCTCCAGCTCTGGAGTCACACTGGGTGGTGCCGCAGACATATCCATCAGCCCAGGTCTTGTACTGCAGTGTGCAAGTGTGTGCAGGTGTGGGGACTATGGGCACAGAAGACTGAGGCTTCTGGCTGCCAAGACTCACCCTGAGGACCCCATCGGGCTTTTGTTCTCTAGTGAAACTTCCTCTTCTGTCACCTCCTCCTCAGGGCAAAGTCAATTTCTAGGCAGCCAGGGCAGGGCTGGGGCTGGTATGGGATGAGCAACAGGTGTGGCTTCCAAGGGCAAGGTTGAGGGTGGGTAGCGGGACCAGGGCTCCAGCTCTGGAGTCACACTGGGTGGAGACAGGGTGCTGCACTGGGGTGGCTGGGGGAGGAAGGAAGACCAGCTGTCCCTGGGCCCAGTCCTGGGAGGATCTTTATCAAACCAGCCACCGCAAGGTCTCATCCAGGAAGCTCCAGATATGTCCAGATGGCACACACAGATCTGTCTGGGGCCACCGCCCTCAGGCCTGGCCAAGGCTGAGGGCCAGAGCTCAGGTCATAGAGCTCTCGTGCCTTCCTAGGGGCCCTTCTCTTTGAGGAATACACACAGACCCACAGACCAATTAAGTCCCCAGCCAGGACCGCCCCAAAGTCCTCCCTCCTTAAATGTTCCGAAGTTGGAACTGGAGCTCCACTAAACACTTGCTGTGTGACTTTGGGCAAATCTGGTGCCTCTCTGGGCCTCATCGGTAAAATGGAGGCCATCATCACTGAGACTGTGGCTATGGGTCTAGCGGCATTCCCAGAGGGTGAAGTCCTGCAGAACTCTAACCAGGAGAGGCAGCCAACCACGGATTCAGACCCACTGAGGCAGTGTAGTGATGGGGCATCAGGTCATCTTGGCACCTGGAGAAAGTAGGTCCTTGTGGTTTGACTCATTTTGCTCATGCCCTCACTAAACAGATGCAGAAACTGGGGCAGCGCCTGTGGGATTCAGAGTCACAAAATTTGAAAGTTGTTAAGAGTAGATCCTAAGAGTTCTCTCAAGGAAAAAATATTTTTTTCTTTTATTTGTATCTGTAGGAAATGATGGATGTTAATAAACTTAGCATGGTAATCATCTCACAATGTATGTATTCATAAGTCATTCTATCATACATTTGAAATGTATACAGGGCATGCATGCTCAGTCGTGTCCGACTCTTTGCAACCCCATGGACTGTAGCCCACCAGGCTCCTCTGTCCACGGAATTTCCCAGGTTGGAGAAATCCCATGGACAGAGGTTGGGTTGCCTGGAGTGGGTTGCCATTTCCTCCTCCAGGGGATCTTCCAGACCCAGGGATCGAACCTGTGTCTCCTGCATTAGCAGGCAGATTCTTTACCACTGAGCCACCTGGGAAGCCCTAAACTTATACAGTGCTATATGTCAATTATATCTCAATAAACTGTAAAGAAAACAAACAAACAAAAAGGTTGTAAAGACCCAGGTTCGATTCCTGGCACTACCATTTACTAGCTTTCACACACTATGTTTATTACTAGGCTGCCTTTGGGCAAATTAGGAAGAATCTCTGGGTCTCAGTGTCCTCATCTGGGGAAGGAGGGTCACCAGGATCTAATGGGACAAGATAAGGAACATACATGCAAAGGCTTACCTCGCCTCTCTGAGGGGCAGCATACTCCAGTGGGTCGCCAACGTGGCTGCACATCAGAATCACCTGTGGAGCTTTCGAAATACCATTCCATTCTTAGGAAGGGAGTTTAAAAAGCTCCTCAGGTGATTCTTTTATGCAGTCAGGCTTGAGATCCACTCACCGGTCTGTGGTTTTACTCAGTGCCGCCAGCAGCACTGACATCACTCGGGCGCTTCTTAGATATGCAGAATCCCAGGCCCCACCCCAGACCTGCTGTATCAGAATTTTCAAGTTAATGAACTCCTCAGATGGTTCAGTGCACAGCTCTTCAGGGCTGACAGTGCTGTGGTTTATTTCAGAGCATTTGCTGCAAGTTTCTTGGAGTTTTGAACTTGGACAGGGCTAAAGGGGAAAGAAGGGAAAACAAGCAGCAAATGAAGAGTGTCTCTGAGCTCTAGGTTCTGCTTGGTGTACAACCCGCCTGGCCTGGAGCTTTTGATCCACTCTGTTCCTTCCTCATGTCTCCTGCATTAGCAGGCAGATTCTTTACCACTGAGCCACCTGGGAAGCCCTAAACTTATACAGTGCTATATGTCAATTATATCTCAATAAACTGTAAAGAAAACAAACAAACAAAAAGGTTGTAAAGACCCAGGTTCGATTCCTGGCACTACCATTTACTAGCTTTCACACACTATGTTTATTACTAGGCTGCCTTTGGGCAAATTAGGAAGAATCTCTGGGTCTCAGTGTCCTCATCTGGGGAAGGAGGGTCACCAGGATCTAATGGGACAAGATAAGGAACATACATGCAAAGGCTTACCTCGCCTCTCTGAGGGGCAGCATACTCCAGTGGGTCGCCAACGTGGCTGCACATCAGAATCACCTGTGGAGCTTTCGAAATACCATTCCATTCTTAGGAAGGGAGTTTAAAAAGCTCCTCAGGTGATTCTTTTATGCAGTCAGGCTTGAGATCCACTCACCGGTCTGTGGTTTTACTCAGTGCCGCCAGCAGCACTGACATCACTCGGGCGCTTCTTAGATATGCAGAATCCCAGGCCCCACCCCAGACCTGCTGTATCAGAATTTTCAAGTTAATGAACTCCTCAGATGGTTCAGTGCACAGCTCTTCAGGGCTGACAGTGCTGTGGTTTATTTCAGGGAATTTGCTGCAAGTTTCTTGGAGTTTTGAACTTGGACAGGGCTAAAGGGGAAAGAAGAAGGGAAAACAAGCAGCAAATGAAGAGTGGCTCTGAGCTCTGGGTTCTGCTTGGTGTACAACCCGCCTGGCCTGGAGCTTTTGATCCACGCTGTTCCTTCCTCAGCTGTGACCTCCATGGTCAAGGGCTCCTCAGGCTTTGAGGAATTCATCCTCCAGTCTTAGACAAGAGGAAAAGGCAGTACAAACCCTCTCAGTGTGAAGGTGCACCATGATGGTCTTGGCGTCATTTCCCAGAAGGGAAGACTGAATTGGGGTTCCAGGTTTCCAGCTAAACTTCTTGAATCTTCTACCTGCCCACCCCCTCCCCCATGACCCAGCTGCTGGCCCCACTCCATGCCAGGGTGCCCTGATCCTGGCCCCACCCAGACTGCTTGTATTGACTGACTAATGCTGACTCCAGGCAAGTATTCTTGGGTGCTTGGCACTTTGGCCAGAGGACTTTCTCCTTCCACTTGCCGGAGGACCAAGGACAACATGGAGGATGGCAAAGGTCAAGGACTGAGCCATCCAGGTGAATCACAAGCTGGCTGGGACATCTCAGGTTCCCAAGCCCTGTGGGAACAGCCTCCAGCATCACCACCTACCTTCTGGATACAGCGGTGAAGCGGTCTCAGGACTTGCCAGTGGGCCAGCCTGCCCTCCAGTGGGGCTCCGTGGTAACTGCACCCTCCCTGCTCCACTTTTCACAAGGGACTGCAGCTCTGGATGAAGGCTCCCCCGATATCAATTTGTTCAACTTATAGGTAGGTGATGGACAGGCGGTGCTCTCCACCTGCCATTTCAGACACCTCTCCACTTCATATGACATTCAGCCCTAAAAGGGGTATGTAATGAATACCTGATACCTTCTTCATCCTAGGGACTTTGTGTACTTGCTCCCTGACCCCTCCAAAAGTCCTGGGAGGCCAGGGGTGTTACTCACATGTAAAGGATCAGTTCCTGGCCTTGAGGGCTGGCAGCAAGGGGTCACATTCCATTCCATGCCCATCTGACTTCCAAGACCATATTCTTAATGTAGCACCTGCCCGTGGAAACCTTTTAGCCAGGAGTTCCCAGGCTCTTACAAGGACCAGGCAAGTAGCAAGAGAGAGGGGAGTGCTGGGGATGCTGACAATCTGAGGGATGTGCGCTACATATAAAGGACACGCTCAGATGTCCCCAGCAAATTACTCTTGAGTAGGAATGCTGGACTAGCACCTAAGAGAAGCTGAAAGGTGAATTTGGGGTAAAATTTCCCAATTTAAAATATTGACAATTAAATCAGAGAAGAGTGTAGATATATCACAAGCCAAACAAAGACTGTTTTTAACAATATGAGCTTTTACAATAGCCTCATGGTATAGGTAAGCTCAGGCTTCCCTGGTAGCTCAGATGGTAAAGAATCTGCCTGCAATGTAGGAGACCGGGGTTCAATCTCTGGGTCAGGAAGATCCGCTGGAGAAGGAAATGGCAACCCACTCCAGTATTCTTGCCTGGAGAATTCCATGGACAGAGGAACCTGGCAGGCTGCAATCCGTGGGGTTGCAAAGAGTCGGACATGACAGGTAAGCTCTGGAGAGAAGAGGTGACTTACCCGTGATCACGTGACCATGACAGTGTCTGGACTTGACCCCAGGCCAGTGCTCATCTCAGCATGTTTCTCTGTGTTCTGCCCTGCTCTCCAGGCCCCAGGGTGGGGTGTGAACCATTTCTGACTTTGGTCAGGTGGTAGAACACATCAGACTAGAGACTAGAGGCTGGAAGATCACCCACATTTATTGGTCAAACTAGGGTTACAGTGTAGCAGGACCACCCTTGGCCCCTCTTGGAAGTAATGAGGACATGGTGTAACATGTAGCCCCTGCGTGCTTGATCAGATTGTGCTGAGGTAGTGGCTGGATCCAGTGATCTTTCCTGACTGTCTTGACAGTCCCCACCCCCTGCACCCTTAGGCCTAGCTTCGTCCCTTACACCACACAGACGGGGCCCATTCAAGGTCATGCTGGCTCGACCTGGAGTTGGGCCCAAAGACCTTGGAAATTAAGGGAGAGGAGGTGATCCAGTTTACAGATGGGAAAACTGAGACTTGAGGCAGGAAGACACTCATTGAGAAGCCTCATGGCTAAATCCCTGGCTTGTTAGTGCTTGGACACTCTCCCCAGCCCATTCTGGGCAGAAGATGTTCCCTGGTTTAGCTGCTCTGGAAATGCAATTTATAAATACAGATTTGGTTTTAAAAAGTAATAAATTAGATCTTGGACCAGCCTGAGGGAATATGGCCAGTCACATGGCCCAAGACCTGGACATCTGTCACATCTCATATATGAACCACCCATCACATGTAGTGCCAGGACCCATGCCACTGACCCACAAGCCACACTGCAGGTATTGTGCAATGTCACGTGGAATGTTCCCACATGTGACCTTCCACATCACACACTGCACCATGACATGCTCATTGTGCTTCATGTTCCCGACTGGCCATGCATGTCCCATGGGATGTAGGGTAGTCATACTCTGCTCTTTGTCACCAAAAATGTCCTCCCTGAAGACTGCTACAGGAAAAGCGTGTTTCTCCCTCTTGATCCAGGGACAGCCAGCTTTTTTCATGAGCCCTCTATCCTCGTGGATGGAAATTGGCATCACCCGGCTGGATTCAAACGCACTTGAGGGCACCATCAGGTACCCCGGGGGATGACTTGTGGCTGGTTGTCGAAGAAAGCAAAATCCAGCCTGGGCTCCTGGTTCTGCAGATGCTGGGCCATGTCCGGGGGAATGGGGTTATTCCAGAGGCTGCACGGCACAGAGACAGACACTTAGCACTGGGGGCTGCTCACTTACCCTCTCGTCTCTGCTTTCTGTCCTGCCTACAGATGGGGAAACTGAGGCCCCAAAGGGGAAGAGCTGCTCTAAGAGTTAGCTGGCAGGCAAGAGCAGGTGGAAGGCCAGCATGGCTGCCTTCAGGAGATGGTATCCCCCATGCTCACCCCGACTTCTTCCACTCCCATCTTTTTTTTTGGCTGCACAGCATGCAGGATCTTAGTTCCTGGACCAGGGATTGAACCTGTGCCCCTCGAAGTGGAAGCATAGAGCTGTAACGACTGGACTACCAAGGAAGTCCCCTCCACTTTCTTCCCCAGAAGCTAGCCTCTTCCCCAGAGCCATGCTCATATGACATATTGTATAAATGAGAAAAAAGCTCCCCTTCTTTATGACACCACTTCCATTGTCTGAAACTGTTGTAATATATTGAATTTTATAGAGAGAGACACTTCAGTACCACTAGAAATGTAATACTACTATTATGTGAATGATGTCCCTTAGATGCTGTGCCCTGGTGCAGTATACAACCTATACAACTGGCCCTAATTACAGCTACCATTTTAAGTGCTTACTATGTGCCTGACATTGTGCTCGGGGCTTTATCTAATCATTTAGTCTGCAGAGCAGCTCTCTGAGGTAGATACTATCACTATTGCCATTTTACAAATGAGGAAACTGAGATTCAAAGAGGTTGAGTTATTGATGTGAAATTGCACAGCTGGTAACTGACAGAGCTGGGGTTTGATCCAGGTCTGTTTGCTGCCAAATCCCTGATGAGTGGGTCCAAGTCTCCTTTGATGATCCCCAACCCAGGTCCTGCCTCCTCCTACAGGAAGTCCTCTTACATTGCAGAGCTGGTGTGCTCACCCCACCCCCACCATCCCTGCCCCAACAAGCCCTGTTACCGAATGACTTGGATGCCAGATCCCTGAGCCAGCCCTTCAGCCAGGAGCCAGGCTCCATAAGCTGTGATCCGATTCTTCTCCAGGCTTCCGGATGGACAACAAAGGGAAAGAGATTGACATGAGATGGGGAGGGGGTGGCCTAGGGAGCTTCCTTATGTCTCTTCCCCGGGACAAGGCTGAGGGACACAGGCTCCCCACACATCTATTTAGAGAACTCAACATTCAACAGTCCAGTGGGAAGGCTGAAGACTGGGACCCAGGAGAGCTAATGGACGAAGTGGGGGGAAGTCCAGGAGGGCTTCCTGGAGGCAAGGGCCTGACCCAGTGGCCTCCTGGCTTTCCCCAGGACACAGGGCCCCGTTTGGTCCTCCCACTCCCTTCTGGCTTCCCCAGATGTGCCCATCATACTCCACTCTCTTCAGCCGGCCCATCTGTGGCAGGACCCGGGCCAGCTCAGCAGCTGCCTCATCCCCGAGCAGATTCCAGGACAGCCTGCAGGGTAGGGAGGGGGCCCAAAGTCAGCGGCAGGAGAGCAGTGAGGGAGGAGACAAGGTGGCAGGTGGGGAGGGCGGGGGGTGCTGTGCCTGATGGGGTCCTGTGTGCCTTCTCTGAAGACTTTACCGGGCACAGCAGGCTCCTCCCTACTCCCCCAATCCCATTCCCGAGCTGGTCATCCCACGGGAACCCAGACAGCTTAGGAGCTGGCTGTCCTGAGGGTTCAGGACACGTGACTGTGGCAACAGCAGGATCTGAACTTCCACCATGCACATGCCTCCCTCCTGACTTTGCCACACCCATGCACCACCACCGGTATTGTTGTTTCACATTTTTCTTTAAATCAGTCCTCTATCCCCTCTTTTATTCACTTTGAGAAATTCATCTTCAGAAACGGATATCACTATTATGAATGAGAAGCCTGTGCTGGGGACCCTAAATAGAAAGTAGTTACAAGGCTAATCTAAACAGGGCAAACAATGGCATTCACTCCGATCTGGAACCTGTGTCCTTCCTAAAGTGCTGACCTCGTGGTCTGCCCCCTGCTGGCTAAAAAGGGACAATCAGTCATGTTGGGTGAGTTAGCACTGATCCCAGACTTTCTCTTTGTTGTATAAAGTAATGAGAAGAATTAAAATCTTTAGGATGCAAACCTAAAATCTTATAAAATCATATGTATCCTGTACTTAAGGAGATTGCATTTTCTTCTGCCCTGCTCAGGGGTCCAGGTTGGTCCTGGCAGTCTAGTTTATCCCTGTGGCAATATTGCCAGGCCCCAGGGTCCAAGCACCTCTGATTTCCAAGGGAGAGGTAGACACAGTCGGGGGAAGGTTGGGGGCTGCTGGTTTCAGCCACTCTTCACTACCAACAGGTGGTTTGAAAATCAAGGCTCCATCAACCAGGTGGGGTGCTCCATCCAGATGCCTCCCAAAGGGAGAGTCAGGGGCAATGGTCCTGACCATCTAGCTCATCTCCTTCTGGTCCACCTCCCCTCCTGCCCTCTACAGCTAGGGAAACAGGGGAAGAGGCTGCATGGCTTAGAGCAGGGATCCCCAGCCTTCAGGATCTAATGCCTGAGGATATGAGGTGGAGCTGATGTCATAATAGAAATAAAGTGTACAATACATGTAATGTGCTTCTATCATCCTGAAACCATCCCCCACCAACCCCCACAGTCCATGGAAAACTTGTCTTCCACAAAATTGGTCCCTGGTGCCAAAAAGTTTGGGGACCTTTGTCGGCTTAGACCAACAACACTTGCAGCTCAAGTGTTAAAACTTCTTCAAGAGGAGGTTTGAGCAAGAACGACCTTCCCCATGTAAAATCGGAAGGCCTCCAGGGAGGAAGGAACCAGACCCCCAGGTGGCTGCTCTCCCCAGCTCCAGGCTAGCCCCCCAAGCACTCACATGATTTCTTCCAGGGCCGGACAGAGCACGAAGCTGGCGGCGAGGGGCTTGGCGGTCTGGTTGTCAATCTCACACGACACCAGGCTGGAGAGAAGAAGGGGATGGGATGAAGGTGTCTGAGTCAGGGGTGCTCCAGCCTGCAATCAGGGCAGGAGGGAGCAGAGTGGCTAGGGGCTGGGAGTCTTAAGAAAGCTCCCCCCTTTTTTGTCTCAGGTTCCCCCTATACTTGAGGCCTCTGTCACTTCGAAAGCCTTCCCAGGTGTCAAGCTCAGCCAAAGAAGGGCTGCCTGCCACAGCACCCCAGCTGGTCAGAGCAGGCTACTTACTCAAGCTGCCGGAGCAGTGGGAGCCCCTGATGGAAACGCGGGACCCCTCCGGTCAGGCTGTTCTCTGCCAAGCTGCAGGGCAGGGGAGACAGCCGTGAGAGGAAGCCCCAGACCCTCCCCGGCCTGTCCCCCTGCCCAGGTTCCAGGGCCCCTACTCACCTGATCTCTTCCACGTGTGGGCATCCATCCAGGGCCTGGCCCAGGCTCAGCACCCCCTCTGGGCTCAGATGGCTGGATGGCAGGCTGGGGAAAGGGAAGGGGTGAGGGCAGCCTGGAGGAGCAGGTATAGATATTTGGGCGGCTAGATGCCCCCAGCCTCAGCTTGTCTCAGGCTGCACTGGCAGACCTTAGACCCTCTCTGGGTAACTGCCGCCCCAAACCCCCTCCCCACACACAGAACATGGGTGGGTATCAAGGGGCCCTGGCTTTGGGATCTGAGATCCCAAGCTCAAGGCCTGGCTCCTCCATGTATGAATAGGGTAATAGGGTAAGCTTTCCATACTTCTCCTGGCTTTAGTTCCCTTGCCTGGAAAATGGAGCCGGTAGAAATCATGGCCTCACAGGGCTCAGATGAGACCCTGGACATAAACTGTAAAGTGCCGAGGCCATGTTGCGGGGTGCTTTTGTCCGGCAGAGCCCTTTGCTGGCACTTCCCACTTCACCCTCTGAGACTGGCTCACAGGGTACAGCAAGCTGGGATCCTTGTACTTCTTTTAGGAAGGAATCTGAGGCTTAGAAAGGGCAGGGGCCTGGCCAAGGGGCTGGTGGCCGAGCCTGGACTAGGCTGGGTCCCCTGATTTCCCTGCCCCAGAGGTAGGGCAGCCAGCCCCAGGACACATCCTGGTTTCCTCTACGGCAGGGCTGCTCAGCGATGGGGCCTTGATCCTCTAGTTCTCCTGGCGGGGGGGCGGGGGGGGCTTCCTGCTAACCCCTGCACACACCACAGACAGGGGGCCACTCACTGCAGGACCCTCAGGTGCCGGGGGAGCCCGTTGGCCAGACCCAGGGCTGTGCAGTCTCCCAGGGCATTGAAGCCAAGCCTGGAAGAGGAGAGGGGGTGGAATTGAGCACCAGGCTGGCCGGCTCCAGGCCCCTACCCTGTGCCTAGTGGGGGACCCAAGCGCCAGGTGGGCCACGAGGACACAGAGAGAAGAGGGCAGCCCACCCGGGCAGACACTCACATCAGCTCCTCGAGGTGCGTGCAAAGGGTGAGAGAGTCTGCCAACCGCGCTCCCCCTGCTGGGCCGATGCCATTCGCTGTGAGGCTGAAGAGGGGCGGATGTCAGACTCTTGACTCCCTCATCCCTCACCCTACCACATCCGCTGGGCCCCCACCACCACCCACAGCACCCCCACCACCCACTGATGAGGCAGAGAAACCCAGGGAGGAACAGGGGCTGGGGTGGCTCAAGGTCCCCAAAGCAGTGCCAGGAGGTACCCAGTCCCACTGTCTGAACACCAGGGTTAGGGGAGGTAGCCACAGTCTCCCCAGACCATAGCGTGACTGCCAAGGGCCCCTGTCGGGAGGGTTGGCCACTCACTCTATCTTCCTGAGCTCAGGGAGCCCCGGCAGGACAGCAGCTAAGTCCTGGGCACCGGTGTCTCCGATCTGGTTGTGGCTCAAGCTTGGGGAGAGAACAGCAGGAGAACCAGAAACATCAGCCCTCCACCCATCTTGTCTCCATCCCATAAGAGGAGGCTGGAGTCTAGAGAAAGGCCTCAACCACACTAGTAAGTCCCCTCACCCTATGTTGTGTGAGGATTCCAAACTCTTGTCTTCTGTTTAGGATGATCCCCCTGCTGTCTGACCTAAATCCTTCTTGCTGCAATCAATATCCTCACATGCTATCTTTGGGTCTCCTAAGATGCTGGGTCTGGGGTTATGCAGTATAGAAGTGGGTGAAGGGGACGAGACTAAGAAGTGAAGCGTGTCCTCAAGGAGCTGCTTGCTTTTGTTGTCTTGGGTCTGCCAAAGTTGTCTTGGGTTTGGGGGAGGGACAGGCAACTCACCCCAGCTCCTCCAAGCTGGTGGCAGCTCTGAGAGCCTTTGAAAGGTGGCAGCAGCCGACGTCATCGACGTTGCTCCTGCTCAGACTGGAGAAGCACAGCCAAGAGGCCTTAGTCAGGAGGCATTTGCTCAGTGCTGTACTAAGCACTCTACAGTTTGCAAAGCCTTTATACATTCAGGAACTCATATACCAGTCACAAAACTTTCAGGGGATGAGACTGGGCAAGGTGGGCAGACTGTATCCAATATCCAGATGAGAAATCAGAGGCCCCGGGAGGAGCTGTGATGGGCCAAAGACTCCCAGGGACTCGCAGGCAAGGAGGAAATGGGAGCCCAGAGCTGTTGGCCTGGAACAGTAGCCTCATTTTTTGGTTTGGCCAGGCCAAGTGGGGGATCCTCAGGCCGGCCTGGCTGAATGTCAGTTTCACATGTCTCTCACAACTCACCCTGTTCTAATCTATACAAATAGTGGGCTTTTCCTTAAACCCAGTCAATTTATGGTCTTTTCTGCACTTGGCCACACGCTGCCCCTGTTGAGTAGCAGGGGATGGGGGTGGAGGGTGGAGGAGGGAAGGTGGGGGTGGGAGATACAGTGGGGAACCAAAGGAAAGAGCTGACGCAAAGTATTAGTATGAGGGTTGTTTTGTTGTCTTTTGTTTTGCAAATTTTTAGGGAACCTCCTTTAGGTGAATTAATTTAGGGTGAAATGACCTAGTCCTCCAAACTCTCTGAGCTCATATCCTATGTGCTCTACCCTGCCTTGGGTTTGTTTGGAGTCACAATATTTCCTGTTTTGAAAGACTACACAAAAAGAATATGGGCTATTTGTTTATCAAAGCGGCCAGGGGCACAAGGGTAGAATACCAAGGTCATCAGCTCTGAGGCTAGACTGTCATTACTCAAAGTGGGGTCTGTGGCCCCCCAAACGGGCATCCTCTGGGAGCTTGAAATGCAGAATCTAGGCCACCCACATCATAAATCAGAAACAAGAACAAGAACACAGGATGAATTTGTGCACACGGAGGGTTGTCCTAGGACTTGGGCCCAGCCCCTTCTGGCCATCTTCTAGGAGGAAGCGGCATGTGCTCAGGCGCTCACTTGTGTCCAACTCTTCGCAACCCCATGGACCTGTCGCCACTCATCCACTCTCCATGGGATTCTCCAGGTGAGAGTACTGGAGTGGGTTGCCATTTCCTCCTCCAGGGGAACTTCCCGACCCAGGGACCGAACCCACATCTCCTGCGCTGCAGGCGGATTCTTTACCCACTGAGCCACCAGAGTAGTGAAGGGCTGTGACGCTGGCCTGGGAGGGTACAGGACGTCCCGACGATGGCAGCCGTGGAGCTTCTCGGGAAGGTGCCCCAGGGCTTCCCTGGGCCGGTGGTCCCAGCAAAGCTGGGAAGTATGCCCCCCCACTCACTCCCATGGGGTCACTCACCGGAGGCTCTGCAGGAATGCCATGTGGCCGAGTCCTTGAGTGAGCACAGCCAGGGTGGAGCCGCCCAGTGGGAGGTGGCTGAGGCTGGAGGAGAGGAGGCCACAGGAGGACTTAGCATGGCTGGGCTTGGGTCCCCAACATGGACCCCGAGTGCTCGGCAATGACCAGTGATCTCCAAGACAGCCACAAACAAAACTGCACTGGGAAATTCAAATTCTCTGTACAATTAAGGACATCCAGGCAGCAATTCTATGCTCTGAATCACATTGGACCCAGACTACTGACTGGTAATCATAGCGACCACTTATCGAGCACATACTAAGGGCCATGTAGAGATGATGTGATACACAATCATCTCCATTTTACAGATGAGGAACACTGTCTGAGGATGAAGTCACGTTGGGGAGAGAGAGAAAGAAAGAAAAAGAGGAACAAATACAGAACCTGGATCCAGCCAAGCCTGAAGTCAGTTGCCTTGTCATTTTCCATGACATGAGTTAATATAGTTCTGGGTTGGGTTGCTTTGAGTGAGTGTTCTGTTTCTTATGAGCACGTACTTTAGTTAACACTTAAGAGCCAGGTAAGGAATTATAAAGGGAGGGTGTTCAGCTCACCTGGGTGCATTGAGGACAGTGACAGTCATGTTCACAAGAGATACATTTTGAGGCATGCTCCCAACACCCCGCCCCCACCCCCATTAACCACCGCCACTTACTCAAGCCTCTTCAGCCTGCACTTGCCCTCAAGGGCCCCCAACAACATCTTGGTGCCCTCCTCACCAAGTTGACTGTTAGACAAGCTGGAGGGGACCAAGCATGAGATAAGGGTTAGAAAAGCCTGCCCAGCCCCTGGAGCTGAGCTGTCTCATCAGCGCCCCTCACCCTCTGAGTCACCCCTAGGAGACTAGCTCTGGGTCTGCAGGTCCCAGACCACGCCTCCTATCCAGGCTCCATGGGGGCATTCCTGGCCCCAAGGGTCAGGCTCACGGGTCCCGAAGGAGGGGGACATTGCAGTCATAGCTGACCCAGCTGAGAAAGGATGCCCTGGATGATGGCTGTACCAGAGGAAGCCAGGGACAAGGGACACGGACACACACACATGCAGTGACCCCTTCCGCCCCTTAGCTCTCTCTGTACCCAATACCACTCTAGACAGAGGGTGCTGAGCCCCAGTTTACAGATGAGGCTGTAGGTCTATTCTAGTCTAAGTCTGAGTGTTGTAGAGTTGCTCAGTCGTGTCTCTTTGCGACCCCATGGATTGTAGCCCACCAGGCTCCTCTGTCCATGGAATTTTTCAGGCAAGAACACTGGAGTGGGTTGCCATTTCCTTCTCCAGGCTAAGTCTAGTCCAAGTCTAAAGAGGTATAGTCACTCCCTCAAGGTCACTCTGATAAAAGTGATAAAAGTCAGGACCAAGAACCCAGTGCTCAGCCTTCCCTAAACCACACTCAGAGTTGCTGGGCTTCATCAGGGAGATAAGTAATAGTCTGAAGTCCCACCACCCACTTTAGCAAAGGCCCAACTGTCCTCTCCACCCTCAGCTGGGTTCCCAGACCCTTCCAATCCGTGACTCACTCCAGCTCCTCCAGAAGGTGACAATGGCTCAGACCAGATGTCAGGTGGGCTAGCCCCTTGGAGCTCACACAACTGGAGGTCAGCCTGGTGGAGGTCAAAAGGCAGCAGTTCAGCGAGGAGCTCTGAGTCTGGGAGCTCTGGATGGTAGCAGCAGGGGCAGGGAGGTGGGGGTGGGGAGTGGTTCCTGGAGCAGTGGGAGGGGACCCATCTTCCCTCCATGAACCTCTCCCCTCAGGCAATTATTAAGTCAAGTTACAGGTTGGAGGCAGGAACATAGACGAGTTGAATAGTTCCTTAAACCACAGTCATTCAGGTAGCAACTTCACAACGTCTGCCATAATCAGGCATTGCTTGTAAAATCTAGCTAGTTACCCTCATTTCCCACGAGCCCTGCATCTTTATTTAAACAACAAAAAAGCATAGCAAATACTAGAGAGGGTGTTTAAAGGCATAGTGGCACCAAAAGAATTTCCCCTGATGCAGTTGGTTTAAAAGAGAACTGACAGTTAGAAAAGCTCCATTTTACAACCATCATACTGGTATTTGATTCAGGCAGGAATGATCAATGGATGCCAAAGTTTGTGAGTGAAAGTTTGAGGGAGAACCGGATATTTACATTGTCTTCAAGTATCTTCCTACCAGATAACTGGTTAATTTCAAAGGGAAAAACAGGAGCTTTGCGAGTGAAGAAACCTGGCAGACACCCCGCCTTAACCAGGAGATCACAGTTAACATCACGGGTAAGGAGACAAGCAGACATTATGTGCTTCCCAATGTGGCACACGTGATGTGTTCCTGAGAAGAACACAGCAGCCTCTCTGTGATATTCCTGCCCCAGATGCAGGAATCGAAGCAGGAGGAAACAGCAGAGAAACCCAGGCACAAGGGCATTCTGATACAACACGCTAATAACTGGCCTGGGAATGTCATGACAGTATCGTGAAACACACACACAAAGGGCTGAGGACACATTCCAAATTGAAGGAGACTAAAGAGAGATGGCAACTAAACACACTCTGTGATCCTGGATGGAATCTGGGACTGGGGAAAAAAAATGCAATAAACATTACTGGGACAAATTGGCAAAATTGGAATATAAACTGTAGTTTAGGGAACAGTAGGGTATTAATGTTAAATTGCCTGAATTTCATACTTTTACTGGAGAGAATGTTCTTGTTCTTAGGAAATTCACTGAAATATCAGGGGTCAAGGGGCATGATTATGCAACTTACTTTCAAATGGCTCAGAAAAAGAAAGTGGGGGCGGGGGAGAGAGAGGGGAGGGGTGAGGAAGGAGGGAGGGAAGAAAAGAGCAAATGTGAGAAAAAAGTGACGAAGGGCGAAGTTGGGAAAATGGCCTACGGAGCTTCTCAGTCTTGTAAATTTTCTATGAGTTTGCAATTATTTTGAAATAATAAAGAAAAGAAAAAGCAAGAGCAGTGACAATGGACTCCTCCTCGCCACGTGGCCATGTTGACGACCATGCACCTGGGAATCATCTCCAGGGCTGTGTGGAGCCCCAGTCCACGGGAGGGGGACACAGAGCTCCGCTGAGCCCAAGGTTGAAGGGAACAGGAAGTGTGGGGGTGGGGGCCAAGCTTCACGCGGGATGAAAGAGGTGTTCCTGAGTGAAAATCTTGTCCACATACCGGAAGTTCTTCAGCTCAGAGAGGGATAGCAGGAGGCTTTGCAGCAGCAGAGAGCTGGCATCACAGAGGTTCACTTGGGACAAGCTGAAAAAGTCCAAGCATATTCCAGAGGATTTCAGGCTGAATACACTTCAGGGATCAACATAGAGATGGGGAGGCCAAGAGAGGGGAAAGGCCCCACCAAGGAGCTCCCAATGGGGCAGGACTCCCCTCTGCCACCCTGGGGTTCTCCCCCACTGGTCCAATGAGAGAAACAAGAATGCCGGGGTTAGCATGGCCCCAGGCTCTGTTCATCCCCATCCTGCCCTGGCCAACCTCTCACTTATGGCCTGAAGCAGGCACTGGGGTCGACCAGAGAACTCAGGGCCTCAGTGTTTCAGGGTACTGACCTGAGCTGCCGCAGCCGGGCACATGTCTCCATCAGCTGCCTGGCAAGGAGGTTTTGGTGGGTTCCCAGGTCACAGTGAGCCAGCCTGGAGGTGGAGAGGGAAGCAGCAGTCTGTAAACACCTGGGTCAGTATTGAGGACTCAGTCCCTGCCTGCAAGGAGTGTGTCTGAAGGTGGTAAATAAATGCTAATCAAATAAGGTCCCACAATTTACCAATCGATCATGGGAAGTACTATGAAGGAGAGGTCCATATAGGGGACCTGGTATGGCTGTGCAGGTTGTTCACGTCACGAGGGGATCCACCCAAGGAAGTGAGTCAGGGCTGAGATCTAGGTATGGTCTATGCCTCACAGTGTACACATGCAGAGCTGCATACACCCCAAAGAGGTGACATTTTAGTTTCCATAAACGTGCTATATGGATCGGAGGCGTTGTGAGCCCAGGCATCTATGAGAGTGGATAAAGGGAGGATCTGACTAAGTCTGGGTGGTTGGAGGGACCTCCCTGAGATGGTGGCATTCAAGCTGAGACCTGAAGGACGGGACTGAGTTAGCCAGGTGAAGAAGGATGAAGAAGGAAAGAGAGGACAGAACATGCTGAGTGGGAGGAACACCCTGTGCAAAGGCCCTGAGGTCAAAGGGAGAACGGTGGTGTTCGAGGACTGAAAGCTAGCGGGGATGGCTGGAGCTAAGACTGGGGTTTGGGGTGGGGATGGACAGCATGGTGTGTCAGGTTAGGCCAGGTCTCATTGGCCACGGAGAGACCTTGGGCATCAAAGGATTCTGAGTAGGGGCATGAGAAATATTGGTCAGAAGCAGCATTACCCCTCCTCTCCCTCCCCATCACCATTCAACCTCTTTCTTGTGGTCCCAGGTACTGGGTCCCACCTGAGGGCCACGGCTTCTGGGTTCTCCTGATGGGGAAATTCCAGCTGGATACAGAGCTGTTGCTGGGTCTTGGAGATGCTGAGGAGGGAAGGGGTGGCCACAGTGAGGTCCATGGGAGCTTTCCCTGTAGGATGTGCTGGGACTGGGCCACTCAGCCGACAGCTCCCAGACCCAGTGGGGATCCAGACACAGGTCAACGGGACACCAAAGCCTTTGGTTTTGGCTAGTCCATGGGATTCTGGTACCTCTGGTCATGGAGCCCTGGTGTGTGCTGTGGTCACCAGGGGCCGATTACAGACAACCAGCATGGACTGCCGGCAGTGTCCGTCTGGAATCTAACAGCCCATTGTCTTGGATCTGGGGTTGCCTTCCTCTCTCCAGCACTGCTGCCTAACTACTCCACAAGTCCACAACTCTCTTGTGACCCCATGGACTGTAGCTCACTATGCTCCTCTGTCTATGGGATTCTCCAGGCAAGAATACTCCAGTGGATTGTCATTTTCTTCTCCAGGGGATCTTCTCAACCCAGGGATTGCAACCAAGTCTCCTGCATTGGCAGGCAGATCCTTTACCACTGAGCCATCCGGGGTGCCCAACAAATATGTGTAGCCCCTCACATAGGTCCCAGGAACTCTTGCCATCTTGGGGACCCAGAGAATCCACTAGGGACCCAGCTATGACACCACAGGACAAGAGACCAATGGCTACATAAGGGATGATCCCAGTGGTCATGAAAAGACGAAAGAATCTGAGGGGCCTCCTTCCTGGACTTACCTTATTTCAGTGATGTTGCCTGAGGCCTGGGCACAGACTTCCAGCAGCGTGAGCACCCCGGCTCTGCCCACCCAGGGCTCCTCCACCCTGTCAGACAGGTGCAGTGACAGGTGCTGAGTCGTGTCTGACTCTGTGACCCCACGGACTGTAGCCCGCCAGGCTCCGCTGTCCATGGGATTCTCCAGGCAAGAGTACTGGAGTGGGCTGCCAGTCCCTTCTCCAGGGAATCTTCCCGACCCAGGGATCGAACCCAGATCTCCTGCACTGTAGGCAGATTCTTCACCATCTGAACTACCAGGGAAGTCACAGAGGTGGACATAGACAAAGGTTCCCCCAAGGTTAGTGTGGGAGGGGAGGAGAGTACTAAGGGTTGGGTGGGGGGGGCTAGAGGCTTTTTGGGTTTTGGTGGATAAAAAAAATTAAATTAATACTTAGGCATAAGCATAAAATAGAAAATTAACACCATCCTTGTTCCAACCATTCAAAGGGAAATTTTTTAAAATAGTACTTTTAGATTTAAGAAAAAGTCTATATAACATCACATTGCAAAGATAAGGAAATTAGACTATATATAAGACAGGATCCCAATTTTGTATTTCAAAAAAGGAAAAATATATATAGAAACACATATGGTGAGGAAGAGGGAGATAGAGCTATGAGAAAAATATATTAAATGTTAATAGTGATGGTATCAATTACAGAATTCTCCTGGATGGTTTTCTTTTGTAGTTGTCAATATTTTCTGAACTTTCTACAATGTGCATGGATTAATTTAGAAGCAGGAAAAAAGAGTTGTTTAAAATATTGCTGCTTTTAAAGTTATGTTGAATTTTTTTTCAAAGTACTATTTTATTACGTTCTTCTGGGTTTTCCACAAATTTCTATGAGGAGTACATATTATTTTTAGAGTAAGGCAAGTTTTAAGTAAAAATATTATTTGCAGTGATCCAGTGCTTCTGGGTATATACCCCAAAGAACTGAAAGCAGAGATACAAAGAGATATGTGTACACACACATCAGAGCAGCATATTCACAACAGCCAAAAGGTGGAAGCAACCCAAATGGCCACTGATGGATGAATGGTTAAAGAAAATGTGGCTTATCCGCATAGTAGAATATTATTCAGCCTTAAATAGAAAGGAGATTCTATAAGAGGGTACAATAAACATGAACCCTGAGGATATTGTGCTAAGTGAAACAGACCCATCACAAAAAGACAAATACTGTATGATTCCACTTGTTTAAGGCATGGACAGGGGTTGAATCCATAAAGACAGAGAATAGAATGGTAGCTGCTAGGGGTTGGCGGAGGAGGCACGGTGGGGGCCTTAACGGGCAGTGAGTTTCAGTTTTCATGAGGTGTTTCAGATACACAACGTGAATGTTACTTAACACTACTGAACTGTACACTTAAAAATGGTTAAGACGGTAAACTTTGTTATGTGTGTCCTACCAGGATTTTTTAAAATGTCATGCTGGGGAACAACCAGACTTCATGTGCCTCATCACTGGCGGCGCTGGGAGGTGCACAGCCTTGGCCAGCAAGCAGGTATTTTTGGACACAAATATGTAACTGAATCTCACGGAGCCTTTCCAGTTCTAGTAAAGTCAGGGGTTAAGAGGAACAAACTCAATGACCTCACAAGGAAGCACCAGACAGAGCCAGAAATGGCCCAGGGGACCGGTTTTCTCAACAATACTGCACCACCAGGGAAGTGCCTGGGCGTCGAAGTTTCCTTTTTTTTTCTGAAGTCCCCAAGTACAGGCCACCCATTAAAAAATTCCAAAGAGCTGTCACCTCTTCATCACGAAAATGTGGACCTTGACGGGATCCTGGATCCAAAGAGCCAGCTGTCCCATATGGGGGCAGTGGGAAATTTCAGAGTGGCTTAATACCTGGCACCAAGGACTTGCTACTCATTTTTGTAGGGGTCCTAATTCAACTGTGGTTATGTAGAAAATGTCCTTTTTTTTTTTTTTTTTAAACACTTGTGGTGAACTCTTTTTGTGTGATAGTTTATGAGATCAATAACTTATCTTAGCTAAAGCATACAAAGCAAAGATGGAAAAACATGAACTGTCAAACCTAGGTGATGAAGTGTTTTCAAAATTGCTTTTCTACTTTTTGGAATCCTCTCTGTTTTCCTGAAAGTTTTTGAAAGATCAGAGTGAACATATTTGTTATATATTATTTCTGACCTCCACTGGGTGTCTTTTATTTTTATGGCCATGTGGTAGGGCATGTGGGATCTTAGTACCCCAACCAGGGATCAAGCCTATGCGCCTGCAGGGGAAATACAGGAAGTCCCCGGGGGTCCTTTTAAGTTTCCTTTTTTTCTGAAGTCCTCAAGTACAGGTCCTACCTTGGGCAGGGGGTGGGGGAGCTTTTTTGCACCTGAGGGGGTTTCTGGGACTAATGGCGGTGGGGGGGGGAGCGCAGAATCTGCATCCAGATGGCAGGCTTCTGGATGCAGGAAATGGCTAAGACCATGACCTTGGGGGAACCCTTTCTTCAGAGCCCACTTCTGCCCTCCATTCCTACCACAGCCCCCTCCCAGGGTCAGGGCAGGCGGTACCTGAGAGTGAGCAGCCCCATCGGCCACGTTAGCAGACCCAGGAGGACGGTCAGCTGCTCCAGACCGGGGAAACAACAGGTCAGCCTGCGGACAGAGGTCATTCTGGCAGGGAGCCCCCACCCCTCGGTTGCCCCCATGGGCTGGGCCCAGTCACTCACATGAGCTCTGTCAGCTGCAGGGCCTGGCTCAGGCTGGTGGCCAGTCTGGGCACGTGCTCTGGCTTGAAGTGGCACTCGCTCAGCCTGAGGGCAGAGGGCAAAGGGCAGAGCTTGGGCAAAGCCTGTCGGGACTACAGTCCTGCTGTCCCCCAGTCTCCCCCAGGACCCAAGGGGGAGCCCCCACTGGGTGCAAAGGCCTGGATCAGGACCTGAGAAAAGGCCCAAGAGGCAACCTGTGCTCTGGGAGCTTCTCTTTGGAGAGACCACCTCCCAAGAAAGTGCTGGAGTCATCACTCACTGAGCCCTGACTCTAAGGCCGGCCCTGGGCCAGCCCGTGGGTACACCCCGTGAGCAGGCAGCCATGCCTGCCTTACATGTGGCATCTCACTGAACCCCAACCGCATCACCTACAGGCAAAGAGACTGATCAACCCAAGGACACACAGTTGGGAAAAAGCAGCGACAGATTTCAGTTTTAATCCAAGTCAGCCTGACTCCAGACCCTAAACCTGTCACCACTTCCCTAGTCTCCAGGCTCCCTTGGGTGCGGGGGCGGGGGGTGCTGGGATTCCTGCTATGGCCCTGTCCTCCCAGGGCCCGGCCCATGTGGCCGGCAGACGGGCCCTGGAGCACTGTCTCACAGATGGGCTGAGAAGAGGATCCAGCACAGCGGAAGAGGGCCGCTCCCTCTCACAGGACAGGGGCCACTGGAGGCGTCCAGGAAGGGCGGACACGTGAGCTGGGTCATACAGCACTGGGAGAGTTTGATCTCAGAAAAGGCAGGGAAGAGAACGCCAGGCTGAGTGCCCAGAAGCAGGGACGCTTCATCAGGCAGTGCGTGCTTGGTGAACAAAGATCCCCTGAGGCTCAATCTGTGCACACATGGGGTGCGTGAGTGGTATGTGAGTGGTGTGTGAGTGGTGTGTATGTTATGTGTGGCATGTACAGGGGGTATGTCTGGTGTGTGTGCATGTGTGTGATGTATTATGCTGCATACGTGTGTGTGTGTGGTGTGTACAGGCTTGGTGTGAGGGTGGTGTGTGTAGGTGGGTGGGAGAAGTGAGGAAGAACACGGCAGGAGGTGGCAACCAGATCAGACTCTGAGAAGACCAGGCTAAGGCATTCGAAGTTTATCCTCAGGGCACTTGGGAGCTACCGCAGGGCTCAGGCAGCGGACGTACCTGCTGGGAAAGTCCCCCTGGGTGCTGTGGGGGATTGGAGGAGAGGTCCAATCCCCTGGTCAGAGGCAGGGGACCAATTCAGAGGCCACGATCACAGGTCAAGTAAAACATGTAGAGAAACTCACCCAAGGCTGAGAAAGACAGCCTGAGGCTACCAGCGGGGAATTAAAGAAAAAATAACTGATACAGCACTCAAATGAGGCAGGTCTTTTCCAGGCACTTTAAACACATTTACTCTCACAATAACCGTAAAAGGTAGGTCTCACTATTTTTCTCATTTTACAGGTGAGGAATTGAAACACAGACTGGTCAAGTCACTGGTCCAAGGTCACACGGCTATTTAGTGGTGGAGCGGAAGAAGTGAAAGTGTTAGTCGCTAACTCAGGTCCGACTCTTTGCGACACCATAGACTGTAGCCCGCCAGGCTCCTTGTCCACATGATTCTCCAGGCAAGAACACTGTAGGAGGTTGCCACTCCCTTCTCCAGGGGATCTTCCTGACCCAGGGATCAAAGCTGCGTCTCCTGCATTGGCAGGTGGATTCTTGGCTGAGACCTACCCCAAGCGGCTCCAGAGTTGGACTGTTTAACTCAGAAGCCTCCAGACTCAAAGTTAGGCTGTGGCTAAGGGCCACAAACACCACTTGAAGGCCTGGTCCAGGGGCTGAAGGTGTGGGGAGACTGGGGGCAGATGTGGGAGAGACAAACCCAGGCAGTAGCTCCAGGCAGGGTGTGTGAAGGAGGAGGGGACCCTGGGAGGAAGGAGGCACGGAGGCCACCACAGGGTCAGTCTCCTTTCCCAGGTTCCCCTGCCTTTCCCGTCACCCCAGACCACGAATTACCTTAGTGTCTTCCCAGTCTCCTCCTGTCGGGAGAAGTGAATCCAGAAGCTCTGCTTGGAGCCCAGGCTGCAGAGAGAGGGGTGTATGGAAGCCCAAGGCCCAGCCTTGCCAGCATCCCTAGGACCCAGGTGCCAGGGGGTGCAGGGAGGGATGAGGGCTGGGTCCACAGGGGCACGGGAGGATGGAAGCCACGGGAGAGACCCTTGCTGACCAGAGGAGACCCCTACCTCCTCCTTCAAGGATGCTAAACCTGGCGTTTCCCCACCCAGTGGCCTCCCTGGGCCCCATTCGGGCACACATGTGAACCTCAGAGGATGGAAACTGTGATCCTACAGTCAGTGACCTCTGAGACTCAGAGAGGCTCAGAGGTTGCCCCAAGTCACACAGACGGAGGGTCACTGAGCGTGCAAGTCTTGCTTCCCCACCATCAGCAAGTGGCACCGATGTTTCCTTACTTCACTGAGGCCTCCCGGACACGTGGACAGGAGGGCAGAGCCTCCAGCAGGGACAAGACGCTTTCCTGAGACATACTGTTGTGGCTTAGACTAGAAGAGAAAAGAGGTTCAGGATGAGGGGTGAGGCAGCACCTCAGTGAAGCCCTGCCCAGCCCGCTCATCTCCTCCATTCCAGCTGTCATCTCCTAGAGGGGAGTCCTCAGTGTCCAAGTGTCCATCCTCCAGGTGGAGACACTGAGGTCCAGAGAGAAGCCAGAGGGGCACTATCGCCATCCTGGCAGGCCAGGCAGCATACTCTGAAAACTTTGAGAGTCGCCCTCACCATGCCTGCTACCCCTGTGGTCTGAGACCAGGGGTGAGGGCAGTGATGAGGCCAAGCTGCCAGCTCCAGCTCCATGGGGGCCAGGGATGCCTGGAGTGCAAAGCTCAGTTGCCTAGCAACAGACTGTATCCTGGGTCTGGACATCAGTCTCCCAGGTCACTGGGGAGACTGAGTGACTGAAGATGACTTCCCAGGGGCCCTCCCTGCTGTGGCGACATCTCTAAATCTGTGTCCCATAAATTTGGTCAGAGAAGCTTCAGGGATAGGATGGATGGACCAAGAACCAGGACAACTGAGATTTCTGCAGCTGATCGGGGCTGAACTGTTGCTCCCTGTCTGGGGTCAACTTGGGCCACCAAACTTTAGTCACAATCTCTCACGGGTGTTTGGTGAGAGCTCCACCAATAGTGGGCAATGAAGGAAGGAGGAAAGGACCCAAGGTGGGTGTAGGGGCGGAATCAAGGTAAAAATCACCCCCTCCCCAGCCCTTGCCCCTGGAGTTCTTCAGGGATGCCTGTAAAGAAGCCCACTAACATTCCGGGCCCTGGGGAGTCTTCCTCCTTGTTGTCCTCGGGGCTGCTCATCACTTACTCAAGTGAACCGGAGATGGGCACCTGGGGGAGGCGTTCCAGGAGGCACCTGAGCCCATCATCACCCAGCAGGTTTGCTGAGAGGCTGCAAGAGGTACGAGGAGGAGGTGGTTGGTGCTCTGACGTGCCTGCTCTTCGGTGAACATCACTGCTACTCCACCCACCCCGCACCCATCACCTCCACTACTATGCACAGCTTCTGTTCCAACAGCACCATCATCACCACAAGCACCATCCCATCACTACTAATTAGCATCCCTGTCTGCATCCCCATCACCTCCATCAATGCTGGCACAATCACCCCCATCCCCTCACCAGCACCACAGTTAACCAGTCCTCATCTTTCCCTTCAGTATCTGGTGACCACTCCCAGGACTCCAGCAGGCTTTCAGGAATTAGAGAAAAAGCAATTCGCTTTTTACTACGCACTTGGCCTCTACCTGTTGGGAGCCGTCATTTTTGAACAAGAGTAAATTCAAGAAAAAGACAGACGTTTGGAGGACACATTTACCCAAAATATTTCTTTTAATTTGGGAATGCAATATCAGAAACTGCACTTGAAGACTTTATTTCCCTCCATTTGTAGCATCCTATGGTTTTAGCTACAGTTTCAGGAACAAAATAATCAGTGTGCCGGGAATATCTGATTTTTACACTGCAAATTTGAACTCATTTTGCCCCTGATGATGAGACTTTTGAGACTTATTTCCATCTTTTCCTGAGAAATTTTAAAAATGAAAAAGTCTGTCTCAGGAAGGCACTTAATGAAACAATTTTTAGAATATGAAAAACCTCCCTTGAATGAAAAAACTGAAAAACTCAAAAGACATCTTTGCTTATTCATCTTTCTTTAAAATCCATGATTTTCATCAGCCACATTTCTCTCCTTGGCCACACCACAAGGAATTTAAATTGTGGGTTTTTTTTTGGTAGACAGCGCTCTTTATGTTCTGCTTGTCCTAAGCTGGACTCCTAACAGTTCTGAGCAAAGGCTCTGAGTTGTCCTAGGTGTGTGACTTAAGGCAGATTTTTAAACTCTCTCAGACCGCTCTATACTCAGGGTTGTCAAGGAGGAGGATAAAAAGGATATGTAAAGCACTTAGAATAGTAGAAAACACGCTCGAAGCTTTCTTCCCCTACCCACGTAGGGCTGCACTATTCGGGCACTGAAGACAGGCCACAGAGATACCACCTCTCATCAATCTGAGAGCCCACACGACCCCACGCTGGCTGGCTCTTCTTAACCACCTGCCCAGCACACCGACGGACCCTTCCTTTCAGGCTCCGCCAGCCAGCACAGCCCCAGCGCCTTGACTAACAAGAGGCCAAGGGGCTCCCGTGGCGCTTTGCGAAGTGAGAGTAACTCAAAGTCTTAGTTGCTCAGCTGTGTTTGACTCTTTGTGACCTGGTGGACTGTATGTAGCCCGCCAGGCTCCTCTGTCCGTGGGATTCTCCAGGCAAGAATACTGGAGTGGGTGGCCATTCCCTTGTTGAGGGGATCTTCCGGACCCAGGGATCGAACCAAAGTCTCTTGCATTGCAGGTGGATTCTTTATCATCTGAGCCACCAGTGAGGCCCAGTCCTTTGCCTAAGTCTCCCCTAAATCGATCAGGGGTACACCCTAAACTAGCTCTATGTGGTGGAAGTGGGGGATGGGACGATAAGATGGGGACAGAGAAACCTTGCAGATGTGACTGAGTCCAGGCATCCTCTCCTCTGTTAGGTGGTCCTGAGAGCTGCTGAGTGCATGGATGGGTGTACACACCCACCCACCTACCCACCCCCTTGAGGTGCCATGCAGGACATGCTCCAACTTACTCCAGCTGGTTGAGGTCCTTGCTCAGCAACCAGCACAGTGGCTTCACGTGTTCCTGGCGGAGGCCGCAGTCAGTAAACCTGCTGCAGGAAGGGAGATGGGGCCCCTAAGCTGGGTATGGCCTCGAAGCTCCAGCAGGGCTTCACTCAAGCTTGGATTCTCTAGAAACATCCAGCACCCACCCGTACCACCTCCCCTGCCCAGCAGATCCCACATAGGTTTCCTCTCTGAGGGGGGTGGTTCTCAAAGTGGGGTCCCCGACAAGCCCCAACATCACCCCTTTGGGAGCGTGGTGAGAGGCACATGCTGGGAACACAACCCAGATCCGCTGAACAAACAGCTCTAGGAACAAGGCTCTCCAGGGTGATTCTGATTCAGTCAAGGTGAACTATAGCTCTTGGAGTCACTTTAATGAGCAGACATGGGGGTGGAGTGGAGGAGACCCAGGGTGAGGTTTCCTTCTGTAGAGGGTTATTCATACTGGAATCAAAGTCATAGTAAAGTTTGTCTTCGAGAGGCCTATACTGAGACTACGCAACAAGGTAAATGAATAGCTTATGGCCAGCCAGCAACTTTAAAAAAAAAAAATCTTAGAATGATAAAGTACCTAAAACCCATAACTCAAATTTTTATCATTGTTACTCTCCATTTTTTTCAGTCCCAAATTCCTTATTATACTATTATTTATTTCTTATTTTTAAATCAGCTCATTCTTTTTATTTAACGCACTTATCAGAAAAGAAAACCCTATATCACTTATTCCAGTGGAAAATTGGCATTTCTTGCCCCGAACAGACCATAAGGATAAGGATACAGGAAATGAGGACAAAATATCATCATTAAATTCAAGCCAGATATTGGCACCTGCTGAGGGCTCTCCTCCTACTTAAAACGGAGCTTGGCAGATGTGAAGAGGTGTCACAGACACGCTCAGAGGCAACTGAGACTTCCTCTAGGCCTTGTGTGAGCTTGTTGCTTCAGTTATGTCTGATTCTTTGTGACCCCAAGTGCTGTAGCGCGCCAGGCTCCTCTGTCCATGGAATTCTCCAGGCAACAATACTGGAGTGGGTAGCCATTCCCTTCTCCAGGGGATCTTCCCAAACCAGGGATCTAACCCAGGAATCTCCTGTATTACAGGCAGATTCTTTACTGTCTGAGCCACCAGGCCCTTAATCAGACACTGAATTGAAAAAGGAAGAATTTGATGAAAGTGAACCAGTAGTTATGTATGGATGTGAGAGTGGGACTATAAAGAAAGCTGAGCGTGGAAGAATTCATGCTTTTGAACTGTGGTGTTGGAGAAGACTCTTGAGAGTCCCTTGGACTGCAAGGAGATCCAACGAGTCCATCCTAAAGGAAATCAGTCCTGCATATTCGTTGGAAGGACTAATGCTGAAGCTGAAGTTCCAAAACTTTGGCCACCTGATGTGAAGAGCTGACTCATTGGAAAAGACCCTGATGCTGGGAAAGATTGAAGGCAGGAGGAGAAGGGGACGACAGAGAATGAGATGGTTGGATGGCATCACCAACTCGATGCACTTGAGTTTGAGCAAGCTCTGGGAGTTGGTGATGGACAGGGAGGCCTGGCATGCTGCAGTCTATGGGGTCACAAAGAGTCGGCCATGACTGAGTGATCGAACTGAAGTGCTCCATTATCAGCCCAGCCTCCTAAAAATCATCCCATCCTAGTCTATGTCCTACATTTTGGAAATCAGACTTAGAAACCATGAAGGTATTCTAGAAGTCACCATAGTGTTCAGTTAGGGTATGAACTGGAAAAACTACCACCCAAGGCAGCCTATTTTATATGACCAGCATGCTAAGAATGGTCTATCTATTTTCAAATAGTTGAGGGAAAAAAAAGTCAAAAGAAGAGTAACATTTCATGACATGTAAACATTACATGAATTAAAGTCTCAGTGTTCACAACTCCAATTTTATTGGCACACAGACACGCCATTATTTATATATTGTCTGTGCTGCTTTCAGACTTATGATCTAAGTCTTTACAGAACACATTTGCTTGCCCCCGGGCTAGGAGCGCTGTTGTACTGCCTGGATTCAAGTCCTAGCTGCACCCCAACCTGTGGCGTGACCACAGCTATGAGGCTTCTAGGATGTAATGTGCACGAGGCTCTCAGAATGGTGTCCTGCAGATGCTCAACAAATATCAGCTCTTTATTCGTTGTTATTTCACAGCTGAGCAGGCTGAGACACAGAGAGGAGAAAGGTCTGGTCCACGGTCACTTGGTGAGCCAGTGGCATCAGATAACTATCAGAAATGTCATCTGGTGCATTTAAAGATTGCCCCCTCAGCCCATTATCCTGTCTCCTGGGCAATGCCTGCCCTCTGTCACCGAGACAACCACACAGCACTGGTCCAGGAGTCAGGGGGAGGGGGGCTTTCATATCTGAGTGCCTCTTGTGTTTTCTATGTTGCCTTGTATCATCTTGGCCAACAGCCTGCAATCTACCATCTGCTATCACCAGCACCCTTTTCTCAGCGAAAGCTGAGGACTGGAGAGGTTAAGGAACCTGCCCAAGGGGCCAGACCCTGGTGAGGCTGGGATTTTTTTTAAGATTTTATTTATTTATTTTTGACCATGCCACATGGCATGCCAGATCTTAGTTCTCTGACCAGTGATCAAACCCATACCCCACTGTAGTCGAAGTGCAGAGTCTTAACCGCTAGACCACCAGGGAAGTTCCGGGCCTGTTAAAGCCTGTGGGCAGGTAGTGGAGCAGTCCTCGGAGCAGTCCTTGAGCTCTGATCCGGTCTGCTGCGGACTCCTCATTTGCCCGTGACAGTGCCCGGCCCTCTCAGTATGTCCTCTGCTCTGGACATACAGGAGAACAGTCTGTGTGTCCCTGATCTTCCCCTGTTATACCGGGGCTCGGTTCCGGGGGACTTACCAACAGCACCTGTCTTCCTGCTCCTCACCAGACCTGAAGTGCAGGGTCAAATGACGCAGGGACCTAGAACAGACAGCACCTTCGTCAGCCACCTTTGACCACAGCTTCAGGATGCGCCCAGGGGGTAGGTTCCCCTTCTTGAGCAGCTGAATCTCTGATTTGGGTCCCACTGCCCTCACCCCCACCCTTCACATCCAACAGCCTCCAGCACCACCCTCCCAGCTGAGTTCTGGTTGTCCCAGGGCAATGCCCACCTGAGATCCACCTTCTGAACTTGTGGGCACAGGTTAAAGAGGTCAGCTAGCAGGAAGGGGCTCCTTGGAGGCAGTTGCGTCTGGCTCAGTCTGACAGGGAAAGAAGTGGGGTCCTATGTGAGCAAGTTGGAGCCAAGCAAGATCGGTGGGCAAGAAACCTGGACACAAAGGATGGGGGGCACTGGCAGGTGAGCCAGGCAATAAGGAAGGAGGCAGCGACTCAAGAGGGAAAAATAGGAGCTCGGGGTCAAGTGGGCTTAGGTTTGGCTCTAGTCCTGCTTGTAGGCTGTGTGTCCTTGGATAAGTAACTTAACCTCTCTGAGCCTCAGTTTCCTTATCTGAAAAACAGGACTGTTTATGGCACACCTTCTTCTGGGGTGTTGTGAGTACAGAAACATCTTAAGCTTGTGCACTGCCTAACACAATACCCCATGCTTGTTGTGTTGTTATTATTATACTGTTTCTATCCCAAGGACTAACGGGTGAGCCCTTGCTGACAGGGAGTGGGAAGCTGCAAGCCATAAGAGTTTCTCAAGGTCAGCACTGCCAAGATAATTCTTTGGTATTGGGGGCTGTCCAATAGGAAGTTTAGCAGCATCCCAGACCTCTGCTCACTAGATGCCAGGAAAGATTGAGGGCAGGAGGAGAAGGGGATGACAGAGGACAAGATGGTTGGATGGTATCACTGACTCAGTGGGCATGAGTTTGAGCAAACTCTGGGAGAAAGTGAAGGACGGGCAAACCTGACGTGCAGCAGTCCAAGGGGTCGCATAGAATCAGACACGACCAAGCGACTGAACAACAACTCACTAGATGCCAGCAGAAGCACAACCTCCTGCACCCTCCACCACCACCACCAAAAACGTCTCCATCCTGAATGTCCCTGAGGAGTAAAACCACCCCCAGTTGGGAAGCATTGCCTTAGAGAAAGTGACATGCTTCCAGCTTGCCCTCGCTCCAACAACCTTCCAGCAGCGTGTCTTGTCAGTTCCACCTCCCAGGTCCACCCTGAATCTATGTACTTCCCTCTCCCCTTCCCATTCCCAGCCCTCTCATCTCCGATTCTGGCTGCACAGCTCCTCCGTGCTCTGACTTCCAAGCTCGTCCCAGTATCCCTTCTCCACCCAACCGCCAGGCTAAGCTTTTGAAAACACAAACCATCCCTCTCCTTTTCAGGTCTCCTTGGGCAAAACCCCAAAGTCCTCCATGGCTACCAGGCCCTGTGTGGCCGGGCCCAGGCTCGTTCCTCCACCTTCTCTCCTACAACTCTGCTGGCCACTGTGCTCTGACCACACTGGCCTTCTGCCTGTTCCTGGAACACACCAAGCTCCACCCTGCCTCAGGGCCTCATGCATGCTGTTCCATCTCCTTGACATGCTGTTCCCTGCTTTGCACAAGGCTGGCTCCTTCTCCTCCCTCTGGCCATACCCCAGTGTCCCTCCTTAGAGGTGTTCCCTGACCACTCTCGCCACTGTCTAAATCACATCCAATAATCTCTTTACCATATTCCCTAGAAAAATACACTATCACTGTCTGAATTCATCTTATTTGCTTTCACTCTGCTTATTGACCTCCCCTACTACAAGGTGAGCTCCAGAAAGACAAGGGTCTGGTCATTTTTTCCCCTCTCCGTTGTGTCTCCAGCACCCCAAACAGTGCTTCAGAGCAGTATACAAACAGTATGGACCGAGTAATACAAAGCTTAAGCACTGGCGAGAGTCAGGCTGGTCACCTCATTCCAAAGACAGACAAAGAGTCGGGCACTGATGCTGTGTGACCTGGGCATAGAGAAGCCCCTCTCTGGTCTGAGGTTTCCTACCTATTTATTTTAACCTGCAACTTATGTGTCCCAAGGAACCCACCCTTTCCTGACAGGGAGGAACCAGAGTGGGTTCTGTATCTTGACACGGGCTCTGCCACACTTGGGGCTTCCCTGATGTTTCAGATGGTAAAGAATCTGCCTGCGATGCAGGAGACCCTGGGTTGGGAAGATCCCCTTGAAAGGGAATGGGTAATGACTCCAGTATTCTTGCCTGGAGAATCCCATGGACAGAGGAGCCTGGCAGGCTACAGTCCAACACTTGCCCACCTCTGAGAAGTCACATGTCTCCTCCCTCTCCCACAGGACTCAGGGATAAGTAAGATCCTGGGTGTGACTAGAGCCGTCTCAGGCGGCCGAGAGATCCTTAGCAGGAGTACTTAATGTTGCTGTTCTTAATGGTACAATTTAATTTTCTGCTGTATTTTTCCATCTCAGCTACAGCTGCTTTTGCTCCCTGCTAGAAAAATATTTAAAGTAAATCCTTTTTAAATTCTAAGCAGTCTGAGCTGAAATTAGAAAACAGTTTTAAATGCTTTGGGGGATGCTGTTTAAATTCCCCTTTTACAGAATTAGATGGTGACCTTTCAAAACGGGTGTGTGATGTATACATGACCTACAACTGTAAAGTCTCTTTAGAGGAGTAGGTGACCTTTCTGTGGGTAGGAAGAGGTACCTTGGCCCGGTTGTCACAGGCCTTCTATTCTTCAAGGTGCTTTTAGAGCAACTGTCTTGTCTGAATCCCAACCCTGGGGGGAGGGTGAAGACTATTAGTCCCATTTGTCAGATGAGGAAACTGAGGCTTACAGGGGTCCAATAAGTCCTCTGAGGTTGATAAAGTATTAGGGAAGAGCTGGAAGCAGCTCCAAGTTGTGCCAGGTAAAATGATGAAAGAGTTCAAGAGAAGGAGGGAGGGGGCAGAAGGGGATGGCTTTCCAATGCAAGAGCCTTGGCTCTGCACCGGGAAATGGGGAAGCTGGTCTTACTGCAGCAGGCTTAGCTGGGGGAGCTGTGGTAGGCAGTGCAGCAGGGTCTCCAGGCTCTGGTCACTCAGCACCTCGCAGGACAATCTGAGAAACAAGGCATCTGAATGAGGTGAGGAAATCGGGAAAAGCTAGATGTGTTCTATACCAGGACTGCCCAAAACACCCCCTGTGAACACTGGGTCCTTGAGTTATCATTGAGGCCGGAGGAAAAGGAAGGTCGTACATGCTTGGGAAATGCGGGGTTAAGTCACATTAGTTTTCTCAGCTGCAGGACTTCTCAGAGCCTTTAATCTGCTCTCGTGCCTTGTGAATTTCTAAGGGACTATAGTAGGTGTTTTTTTTCCCCCAAAGACATGGACTAGAAGGATCATTCTTTTGAGGGCCTTGAAGACTGGTACCCTGTGGAACGCACCTGTTAAGAAGAGAATGCTGCCTTAACCCAAAGTAGTGAACAGACCAGTGGCAATTCAGGCATTTAATGGGTCAGCAAAGAAGAGATGCAAGGTAGCTCGGATCTCTGACTGTCCATCAAAACCAGACCAACCAGCTGATCACTCGTCTAGATAACTCATCAGAAGCCAGCCCACTTAGGAGGAACTCCTGATACCCACCCTGTGATCTCTGCTCTGGCTGGAGGACTGTGTTGACCAGCATCTCCCAGTGCTCTGGGATTTACAAACAGCCCTCCCTGGGAGTCGGGAGCCACTACCTGACCCCCAGAGGCATTTGGACAGTGTTTTCCTTCTGCCTCCTCCCCTCTTGCTTACCCCTCTTCTCTCTGTCCTCATCCTTGGTCCCCTGAAGGCTGCCCTTTCCATTCACTGGGGTTGTCAGGAGCACCCCAACATGTTCTTTTCTGGCTGGAGGGGAACCCAGCTTGTGGGGACCAGTGGGAGGGGCCGCTTGTGGTTCTGGAGTTGGAACCGAGGAGCCTGTCAGGACCCAGGCTGTAGGCTCAGCTACACCCCCTCTGTCCTAGGACTGGGTCTGGGGCTCAGGGCATAGGCAGAACAGTGGCTTTCATTGAGGGGTGGCCTGACCACAAACATCAGTGGCTTTCCCCTGGACCCCCAACAGACATAGTGCCATGGCCTCTGCTTGGGTCAGCGCTGGGTTTACACAGTTTTTTTTTTTTTTTTTAAGCAACAGAAACTTTACCCATTACATCTCACATGGAATGCTGAAATGTACACATCATGCACCATGATATAAATGATATTAACAAGCAGAGGCAAGTGGGTGAGGGATCTCTCTGGACTAGCTTTGCAGCTTTTCTATAAAGCAAGTCATCAACTGTTCTAAAATAAACGGTTTGTTTGAAAATTCATTTGTTCCACATGTCTCAATATTTCAGAAAAGCCACAATGTTCTGTGATAGACAAAAGGTTGTTGCAGAACTTGTTGAGATCCTGTCTGTTAACAACATCATACCCCCTCATCCTCTGTGTCCATGTGTGTTTGAACAAGGAGAGAGGCATGAAAGGACACACTCCTGGTGTCAACATAAGGATATTGTTAACAATGATAATGGTAATAATAATGGATAATAAGCTTGTTGCAAGGGCCAGAAGGGCATTTGAAATGGGAGCCAGGAAGCAAGGGAAGAAAAAAAAAAAAAACTAGCAAAATGGAAAAGAACATATGGGGCAATGGGGCTTCCCTGGTAGCTCAGAGGTTAAAGCGTCTGCCGGCAATGCAGGTAGACCTGGGTTCGATCCCTGGGTAGATCCCCTGGAGGAGGGCATGGCAACCCACTCCAGTATTCTTGCCTGGAGAATCCCATGGACAGAGGAGCCTGGTGGGCTACAGTCCACAATGTCACAAAGAGTCAGACACGACTGAGCGACTTCACTTTCACTTTCAAAGTGAAACTGCAGAATGTAGCTGGCCTGTGACTTCAAACAGGAAAAAACTGTATACACAATGGAGAAGGCCACCAGGACAAACAACAGTGCTGAGTTGAAAAGGGAAGGGGTTATTTAGGTGAGGCAGGTTTGTCTTGGGTTTCTTTATTTTATGGTAATTATTATAAGAAAATGACAACAATGATGATGAGGGCAGGAAAGTCTGACTGTCCACTTTGCAGATGACAAAGCTGAGACCCAAGGGGTTAAAGTCATTTATTTGCCTTAAGTTACCCAGCTGGTCAGTGGCTGAGCCAGGACTCCTGATTCTAAGCCCAGCCTCTGGTCACAGACCCAGGTGTTCTGAGGTGAGCTGGTATCCGGGGTGGGGGGGTGTGCCCTGAGGAGGGGCCTTCAGAATGACAGGCTCCAGCCACAGAGGCAAGCCAGGTGGGAGCCAGGGTGGGGCTCCCAGGTGCCCTGAGTTGAGCAGATGGGAGATGAAGCCCCAGGCCCAGCACAGCCTCTCTCAGTGGGAGGGGCGAGGTGCCTGAAACCAGGGTCACTGGGAGGCAGCGAGCCTCCAGGAACCTTCCTGGGGTCGGGCTGCGGGGTCTGACAGGAAGGGGCCAGGAAGGACTCACCTGGCCTCTAACCAGGCCACCCCTACCCCAGGTCACTGGGCAGGTGCCCATGTCGTGGCCCTGGGCTGTGTCCTCAGTACTTACTGGACTTCCAGGGGCCCCGGGCACTTCTCCAGAGACTTGCAGAGGTGGGAGATGCTCGGGGGCTCCAGCTGACATTCCCTGAGGCTGAAAAGGGGCAAGCAGGCACGACGAGGTCAGGGAGAGCCGAGGGCCCCTGTCCAGCCCCCCAAACCTGCAGGCCACCGGCCCCTCCCCTGACACACAACACCCCACCCCCTACAGGCCCCAGACCCCCTGCTCAGACAGTCACAATCAAGGCCCCCTGAGTGCTCAGCAGCTCTGATCCAGTCCCAAGTCCTCCTGCGGCTCCTGCCTACTTCCAGGCTACCACTTTAACTCACCCGGGCTACTTTAACATCCCCTGGGTTCCCAGTCTTGCCTCCCTCAACCCTTCACCCTGCTGGCATCTTATCTGTAACAGTATAAATCTGACCATCCTCTCCTGTGCTGAAAACCATCTGTGGCTCCTCAGTATCCTTAGGCTAAAAGTGAAATATCTTTCCCATGTCTCCACTCACCTTCATTCTCCCCATATAAGCTCCAGACACCGGGAAAGGCTCCCCCGGAGCAAAGCCTTCACTCCCCGCCACCGCCCCCTCCCCACGCTGCCTGGTTCCTGCTCCTCCTCGCTCCCTGATAACCTTGTTCAGGCACCAGCTATGAGCTACTGTGTCTTTCTTCTTAGGTGAGGAAATCAAGCCCCAGAGACAGGAGGAGCCCAGCTAGAGTCTCACAGCCTCTCACGGCAGGGCTGGGAAGTCTTCGAGAAAATAACGTGGACTCCTCCACAAGGGAGATGTTGGAGCCCCATCACCAGCCCTCCCAGACTCTCCACTCCCTCATCCCTCACCCCATTGTGGTTACCCCCAAACAAGAGGCAGTTAAGACAGTACCAGAAGCTCCTGGGGATGTGGCGCTGACCAAACCCCAACCGGGCTCCAGCTCGGAACTCTGGCAAAGATCCAGCAGCTAACAGATCCCTGCAAGCGGGGAAACCATCTTGAGAGGAAAATTCAAATCATCCACTTGGAAGACTTGATTCATTAGGGCTGGAAGGGCCTTTGTCACAGTCAAGCCCCTCCCTGGACGGATGGGGCAACTCAGGCCCAGGGAAAGGAAGTCAGAGCCAGGATACCCACAGCTTATACCTGTCCAGGTGGGCAGCACCTGACCAGGTCAGGTCGGGCGGGCATTAGGACAAGAGCCCCCCTCTTTCTGACCATCACTTTGGGTAGCACTCACATGACTTCCACCTCTCTGCGCCTTGATCCTTCTGGTTTCAAGAACCCAGAGAGTCCCTAGAAGACTAGGGAGACCCTAGCTCAGCAAGCAACACCACCCTGGCTTCAGGCAGCCCCCTTGCTACCGCGAGGCTTTTCTCTAAGGCATTGTCTGGAAATGCACTCTGACCTGCTGGCCCCACTTGAGGCGCCCTTGTACCGGCCAAGGTGAGACCAGGCGGCCGGCCTCCACTAGGGGGCAGCCTGGAGCCCTGGCACAGAAGGAACTTGTTTACCGCAGGGGCATGGAAACTTTTTCGGAGCACCAGCGGTTCTTGGTTTCTCAAATGTGATACTCAGCGTGTGGAAGGGCAGTGATTCACAGGAAGGCAAGAGTCTGCGCAGTTCTACAAAGGTCTCCAGAGGCAGAGGCGGGGCTGCTCCCCGCCACCCTCCCACACAGCCACAATCTGCTAGCACCTGTTTTGTGGTAGCATCACCCATCCACTCCTCCCTCCCTCCCACGTGCGCGCCTTCTGAGAAGAGATTTAAGGCAGCTGATTACTGCACATTAATATGGGAAAGAGGGTTACAGAAGATCCATTCCAGACTGTCAGATATGGGTGGGTTACTCTATAGCTAACAGCAGTCAGTATGGGCCTGGGGGTGGGGGGTACCTATAGGAAGTGGGGACAAGAGAGAGAGGGGACCACCCCTTGCCCAAACCTCAGAGCTTCCCCTCCTTACCTGCCTCTTTTGTCACCTCTCAGGATGACGTGTTGGCTTGCAAAGCTGTAGACAGAGAGAAAGCAGTAGAAAGGGCCAAGGGCTCCCTTCCCGGGCAGTGGCAAGGGCAAGAGACCAGACACGCTGGGTTAATTAATGGTGGCCTGTTTTCTCAGCAAACAGGACAATAAACATACTACACACGAAGCACACCACTGACATGATCTTTGATTCTCACAATAAAATTGTGAGATAATGAAGTATTCTTACCCCCACTTCACAGATGAGGAAACCGAGGTATAGAGAGACCTAGTGATCTGCTCAAAGCAACGCAGCCACTGAGCAGTGGGCCTGGACTTTTGAACCTGGTCTTTCTGCTACTGCACTGCCTACTCTCGGAAGTGGGAGGGGAGGGATGGGCAGACTTTACCTGAAACCATGGAAGATCTGCTTTGCCTGGCCCAGGGCTGCTTGGCTGGGTGCCTTCCCTTCTTTTTTTTTTTTAAACTTTAAGTTTTGTATTGGGCTATAGCCAATTAACAATGTTGTGATAGCTTCAGGTGAATGGGGAAGGGGCTCAGGCATATATACATGTATCCATTTTCCCCCAAACTTCCCCCCGCCCCGCCCCCATCCAGGCTGCCACATAACATTGAGCAGAGTTCCCTGTGCTATATAGCAGGGCCTTGTTGGTTATACATTTTAAATATAGAAGAGTGTATCAGTCCATCCCAAACTCCCTAACTATCCCTTCCCCCAATCGTTTCCACCAGCAACCATGTTTGTTCTCTGTGAGTCTGTTTCTGTTCTGTAAGTTCATTTGTATCATTTCTCTTTAGATTCCACATATAAGGGATGTCATACAATATTTCTCCTTCTCCGTCTGATTTGCTTCACTCAGTATGACAGTCTCTAGGCCCATCCATGTTGCTGCCAATGGCGTTATTTCGTTCTTTTTAATGGTGCCTTCCCTTCTACACTCTCGTCAGCTCCAGGGACCCCACCATTCAGGCGGGTCCCTGAAAATTCAATGGCTACCAGAGAGCTCTCAGTTTCCTTAGGCATCTCCTGGGGCAATCCAGAGAGTAAGTATGGGACAGTATACGGATTGTGTCCCACGGTGAATTTCGAGAAATTTGAGCATTCATGGAGCTATATTTCACTCCCTGATCTATTCAATCATTCCACAGACACACACCACTTGTTCACTGGGCCTGGTATCACACCAGAGCCCTGAGGATGCTGCATCATGAATGGGACGGACGAGGGACGGGACAGGGCCCCAGGGGCACTCTCACCTGAATTCCAAATGTAGGAGCCACCGCAGAGTAGAGAAGCACTGGGTCAAACGGAACACACCCTCCAGGGACAAGCCGTTCTCACTGAGGCTGGAGAATCAGAGGGGTGTTGTGGACGAGGCCACTCGGGACTCAGTAACACCCTCTTTGTGGTCAGAGCACAGGGCTGGGGAGGGCTGTCCCTCCCTGCACCAGGCAACGGAACACCCAGAACCCCAGAGTTACTCAGAGTGTCTCTGCCAACTCCCCATTGTACAGACAGGGAAACTGAGGCCCAGAGAGCAGCAAGGTCTTGCCCAAGATAAACAGACAGGTTGGTGACAGAGCTGAGATTAGAACTCAGTGGTTCCCTCTATCTATAATGAATCTGGGGTGACTTGTGCCTCAGTTTCCCCACCTGAATGATTTGTGCCTCAGTTTCCCCACCTGATCCAGGAGGAGCAGCGCCCAGTGCAAAGTGAAAATGTGAGGCTCCTTGTTGAAAAAGCAAGAACAGAGCTTTTCCTCTTTTGTGCCCTGTCAGTCCGTCCTAGTGGTCTAATATTTGCCACTTAACATAGCAGTCCTCAGGCACTGGGAGACTGGCAGGTGGGTGCAGACCCTCACAGGCTAGATGCCATACCAGGGGTTCCCAGTACTGACAAGGTCACAGGAGGATATTCTGGAAGGCTCCTTGATAGCCCAGCTGGTAAAGAATCTGCCTGCAATGCAGGAGACCCCATTTCGATTCCTGGGTCAGGATATTTTCCAGGAGGGAAAAGATCCCAGAAGGGATAGTCTACCCACTCCAGTATTCTTGGGCTTCCCTTGTGGCTCAGCTGGTAAAGACTCTGCCTGCAATGCAGGACACCTGGGTTTGATCCCTGGGTTGGGAAGATCCCCTGGAGAAGGAAAGGCTACCCACTCCAGTATTCTGGCCTAGAGAATTCCATGAACTGTATAGTCCATGGGGTCATAAAGAGTCAGACACGACTGAGCAACTTTCACTTCACTTCACTTCCAATCTGCATAACATTTGCCTGCATCAGTGAGGCCCTCCTCCCCACCCTCTAGAGGCTGTGAACAGGAACAGAAGCAACCTCTGCTGGTCCCAGCATCCCACTGAAAGGCGGTTGGAGTGGGCAGTGCCCTCAAGCCACAGCACGGGTTATAGCCCAAGCCACAGCCACCCCCTCCCGTGCTTCCGTGTGAACCGACTAGAACCAGGAGCTCAGAGAGGTGATGCAAGTTGTCCAGGGACGCTGCAAACCTAGGACCTGTAACCAGGTTCCTACAGCCAGGAAGGCTCTCCCAGAAGAGCCGGGGAGGAGGAGGGGGCGTGTGAGCCTGGAACCCAGGGACCTTTAAGGGCCTAGAAACTCTGGTTGCCTGCAGGCAAAGTCTGGGGGTTCCCGGCCTCCTTCCAGGGCCCCCCTCCCAGAGTGAACATCTCCCCTCTCTCGGCAGGTGCTCAGGGCTCTCAAGTCTCCAGTCACACTGTCTTCTTTAGTCCAAACCGCCCCTGCCAACCCGGCCAGGGCCCTATCAAACAGCCCCTCCCCACACCCCAGGGCCAGAATGGCTGCCAGGTGTTGCGCTAATCAGGCAAAATCCCCAGACCTTCCTGCCTGGGCCTTCCCAAGAGCATGCGCAAAGACAAGGAGCCGGGTCTGAGAAGTGAAACCTCAACTCAGAAGCTGGGTTGCAGAGTCACAGAATCCAGTCTCTATTTTAGCGAGAATCACAGTAGTTAGCTACCCTGTCCTGAACATTTGCCATGAGTCAGGGACTGGACCAAGAGGTGGATGTATACCACCTGTCTGATTTGATCTTTATGATAATCCCAGATGGTAATGAGATGGGACACAGACTATCCTGCCACCTCTTTATCACCATACCCTCTGCCCCCAGCCCACACCCCCTCATCCTGATGAGATCCCATCTCAGAGGCTTTGCGCAGAGGGCTACTCACTTCAAGGACTGCAGAGAACCCAGTCCTGGGAGCAGCCGAGCCAGCAGGGCCACACCTTCATCCCCCAGAGCATTGCCTGATAAGCTGGGAGGGGTGATGGGGAGGACAAGTCAGTGGAGGGTGGCAGGGGTAGAGATGGCAAAATTTCAAGTCTCCACCCCTGCTACTCAGCCACTTAATGTCTCCCAGAACTGGGATACGGTCCTGGGCTGCCAGGCTGGATCTCAGCACCCAGCACGGGGTCAGGTGGGGTCCCCCCCACCAGGGGTTCTCATCCTCAGGTTTGTGACCCCTAAGGGATCAGAGTTGGGCTTCAGAGTGTCAAATGTGGAGGAGGGGGCTATATTTTAGGGGGATGAGTCACAACTTTGACCAGGTTCTCTAAGGGGATGCAGCAAGGAACACACACATGATCTAAATCATAAGAAACAAACAAAAAAACCCGCACTACACTAACACCTACCAACTGATNCCTGTGGGGCTGAGCTGAGCCCCCAGGCCTAGACCCCTGAATCAGGAAAGAAGGGGCTAGGTGCTACCCATTCTCTGCATCCAGAGTTCCCATAAGTCCTCAGCTACTGGAGGTCTGGGGGGCTGACAGGGGTGGGGACCTTGGGCAGGGAAGGTGACTGAGGGGCTGTCCTGTGAGCCCCATGTGGGGTGGGCTGGGCAGGGGAGGCGACAGGCAGGAAAACCAGGTCAGGACAGCAGGTCATGTCCTCTGGGAGCACCTGGGGCTGGGGCTCGGGGACAGACCCTGCACCCAGGAAGGGAGGAGGCTGGAGCCACGGAGGAGCCTGCAGGCCATCACGGTGGTACCTGATCCTCGGGGAGCGCAAGGACGGCTCAGAGGGCATCTGGAACGTAAGGCTGTCAGGAAACGTAGCCCTGGAAGGACACACACCAAGGCCAGTCTCAGCAAACACTTTACCCACTGTCTCAAACTCCAACCTCAGTGCCACTCCCCACCATTCAATCCCTATATGAGGCCTGGGGACAGCCAGACCTTGGTTTCAACAGGTCCTCTTGACTTCCTGGCTGAGGGGCCTGGGACAAATCACTCAGCCTGGCACTGGGAGAATATAAGTGAATTGCCTTAGTTTGCTGCCTGGTGCATAGTGAGTACTCAGTTAACCTTGGCTCTTAGTATCTTTGATCTCATCACCATCAGTGCCTTCAAAGATGTCAGCCTCAGTGGCAAGCAAGCCGTCAAAAGCTCAGATCCTACAGAAAAAGACTGTAGTCAAACACTGAGCTGAGTCTCTGCCTGTGTGTTGGGCTGGGGCAAACCCAGGAAGGAATCCTGGAGGAGGCAAACACCCTCTAAACGGTCCTTGCACCAAAGGGAGCCCAAAGTTCTGACCAAAATCAGAGCTACAGGCCAGGGGGCCCTCAGTTTAGGCTGAAGGGCCTCGGTCTCCCACGAGGAGCTCTCTGGCTACTCCACCCCTGTCCCAGTCTGCATCTGGCACCCTAGGGCTCTCTTCAGGTACCACTTTGGGAAAGGCTCTTCATTCTTTGAGCCTCCCCTTTTGGGTAGCATCCCAGCCGAGCCTGCTGACTTCCTGCACCTTCGTGAATTTGTCATCCCCACCCGCCACCGCTGAGTTGCACAGTCCAGCTGCGGAGGTCAAGGAGGGGACGGTCCGGGCCGAGGGCTGGGCTGGGATGTTGTCAGGGCCCTACCTCTTCTGGGTCCCCTCCTGCTCCTCTTGCTCAGGGGCAAACGTGAAGACCACAGTTTTGTGCAGCAGGCTGCAGAGAGAAGAGGGGAGGGAGGAGGCAGGAGGTTTACGGGGCTCCCTGAAGCTCTGCGTCATTTTTTCAGCTGGGCCTCTAAGGGGTCACCCCCCCTGCCTCTAGGTGCAGCACTTCCTCTGATTTGCCCTAACATCCTCTGAGCTTCCTGGGGGCCTGGAGTCTTTCTACTGCAGAAATTTCACAAAGGTATGGGCCTCGTTTCCTGGTAAGTCTTTTCTTTCTCTGAAATCAAACTTCAGCTCTGCTTTCTCTCTACCTCAGGCTGAAATCTCTTTCCCTCCTTCCTGTTCCTCTGTGCCCAGAGGCTGCGGGTGCTTGGCCCCACGTGGGGAGGCCACTGCCAGGCCTGGACAGGCACCGGGAGTCCACGGGAGGCTGTGACTGACAGTCAGCACAGCCCTAACCTCGCCTTCCCAACTGAATGTTATAGACACTGGGTTGGCCCAAAAATTCATTCGGGATTTTCCATGTAATGGAAAAACATGCATGAACTTTTGGACCAACCCAATATATTTCCAATTACAAAAGTCATACTTCTTCCCTCTGGAGAACTTAGAAAACATAAGAGTAAAGTAAAAAGGAAATAAAGAGAAATCACTCACAATCTTTTCCACATGTCAATTACCACTGATGGTATTAATAACATATGGAGTGGGCCCTTCAAGTCTTTTCTCTTCTTAATGCAGCTAACAGTCTTTCTTTTTCTTTCTTAAACAATGGATATATTTACTGGTTCTCTTTTAAAAATTAATATTTCAAAAGACAGATGAAGCAAGGGTTACATGATGTTGATAGTTATTGGTGGGAGCTGGGGAGTTCATTATACTATTCTCCCTTTCAGTGTGATTGAAAAGCTTTATTATACAAACAATGAATTAAAATTTTTACATTTACTTAACAGGCCACAGTCTTCCCTGTGCACTAAAGCTGCAGCTGTATCATGGTTCCCTCGAGTTCTCTCTGGAGGCACCTTAGTCTATTTAACTAATAGCACTAATATCCTATTGTTAAAGATTTAAGTCATTTTCAGTTTTTCCTATTACAACCAAGACAGAGATGAACACCCCTGCAGGACTAAGTGTTTGCACGATCATGGTGACCTCTTCATTATAAATCCCTAGAAGTCAATGGAGTAACATTTGCGACACCATAGGGGCCTTTACTCAATTATTATATACAGCGAACCAGGGTCCCCTAATCCACCTCTTGGGTAAACTTGGTCTCCCTTTCCTCCTTTGAGAAGTGTTAAAAGCAGGGCCTCCCAACTAAGTTGAGAGCCCCTATGGGTGGGGACCATGTTGACGTTTATTAACATCTGTCCTCAGCTGCCCAGATTGAACACAGAGACTTACAGAAATAAGGTTGGGCCCCCTTAGAAGCGGAGTCCCTTGGTCACCGTGTACATGATGTACTGAGGGTCTGATCTCGGGAGAAATCAACAAGTGGCAGAGGGAAGCGTAACAGGGCAGATCCTCAGCCAGATCCCTTGGGGTGCAAAAATAGTACTAAAAGTTTGCCCCACCTGAGGCAAGGGGGCTGGTAAGTTACACCTCTGCCTCCATCATTGACTATTCCTGGTTGGGGGGATAGGGTGGAGGTGTACCCTCCCAGGCATCACTGGATCTTATCTGCCCAGGTCAGTTTTCCAGAAGAGGTATAAACTGTGAGCGGCCAAAACCTTTAGTAGCTGGGAACGGGCGTCCAGCTGTAAAGGGGGTCTGGGCAGGCAGCAGCAGCTTCTTCTATCGGACCCAAAGGCCCACCACCAGAAAGAATGCCGAACATTTAGAGAGGGATGACGGGACAGTCTGGGAGCTCCACGCTGTGGGTGGCAGTGGGTGATGGGGGTCCACTGGGAGTTCCTACCTGATATGTAGCTCTGTCAGGGTTTGGCACATGCTCACCACACTCAGCATACCCAGCACCCCGGTCACAGAAAGCCCATTGTCGCTGAGGCTGTGGGCAGGAGGAGGGAGGCAGCCATCAGCAGGTGGCTAGAGTCCCCGGCCCCAGACAGCTCCAGCCCCCTCCTCCTGGCTCAGCAGCTGTCACTCTTGGAATGTCCTGGGTTCCTAACCAAGGGGTCTCAAAGGCTTCTGGCCCAGGTGAATGAGTCAAGAGGCATGTGACCCCCTGCCCCACATGGAGAATAAAGTTCTCTAGCTGGAGCAATAAGCGCTGACTTACTGTTTTTGCCTCTCTGATTCTCAGTTTTCCGATCTGAAAAATAACCACCATTTTAATCCCATTTTTATCAATGGGGGAAACTGAGGCCAAGAAATACTAAGTTCCTTTCCCAGGATCACACAGCTACTGAGTGACAGAGCCAGGGTCTAAATCCAAGGCCAAGAATCCAAATCCCTGTTAACCTCAACACCGCCCCCCAACATAACTCACACTTGATGCTAAGAACCCAACACATCCCACCCAAACAGCACCCTACCCCATACCATACATCACGACAGCACATCCAATAGCCCACTACCCTTTCTTTTCATCCCACCATCACCACAACCCATCCTTTCAACCCCAAACCATATCCCCACCCTAATATACTACTTTCCACTCCAACATCCCAACCCAACACACCAGGACCCATCCACCCAATACCCTAAAGCTGCGCCAATAAAACACTGCACCCCACCCACCATGGGGCGGCTGTCAGGGCAAACTGGAACACAAGCTACCGATGTACACTGAACATGCTCTACACGTACAACGGGTTTTCATAATGGGACCTAGGTGGCGCATGCCAGAGGCAAGAGCAAGACGTGGCTGAACCATTCTAGCTACACTGGAGCTGGGAGAAAGCATGGGAAGTCATAGAGCAGCATCATTTCTGGCGACTGTGGGCATGGGGATCAGGGGTGGCAGGGACCAGCTGGGGCTCTGCTGGGCCCTCCCTGGTACCCGAGAGTGGGGCAGGCAACTCACTTCAGCTTCTTCGTGATGTGCAGTTGAGGAGCAGCCTCTGCCATCAGTCGACAGCCTTCATCTTTGAGCTGGTTCCCTGAGAGGCTGAGACAGAGGGGTCTGATGTCCTGTGCAGCTAGGGTGGGGTGCCCCCTCAACCCTCAGCATTCACACAGTCCCTCAATGACTTTAGTCAAAGCATCACTCCAATAAATGAGACTGAGTTAAAAAGAACATTGAGAGATTGTGTACTATATGCCTGAAACTGTCCTAGGTGCTTTCACAATGTTTGGATGTTTAATCCTCATAACAACCCTATGAAGTAGGCACTATTATTATCCTCACTTTACTGATGAGTAAACTGGCTTCCAGACTGGTTGAAATATTCGATCAAAGTTGGACCTGGGATTTGAACTCGGGCAGCCTGACTTCAAGGCCCCACCCTCAACTGTTTCCTTATGCTACAACCTACATAATTACTTCTTGTGATGAGCTCCATGCTTATAGGGGGATCTGAGCTAATCTGGGGAAAAGAGAAGACTTCCCTGATGTTTGAGCTACTTGCTTGAAAAACTAGGAGTTCAATAGGTAAGGGGTGGGGGAGCGATGGGGGAAGGGGGTTCCTGGTAGCAGGGAGAACACAGTCAAAGACCCTGTGGCATAGCACATTCAAGGACCTGAAAAAGAGCCAGTATGTCCAGGTTAAAGATTGAGTGGGGGCTTCCCTGGTGGCTCAGTGGTAAAGAATCCGCCTGACTATGCAGGAGACATGGGTTTGATCCCTGGTCTGGGAAGATCCCACAAGCTGTGGAACAACTAAGCCCGGGCACCATAATTATCGGGTCTGTGCTCTAGAGCCTGGGAACTGCAACTACGGAAGCCTGCCTGCCTAGAGCCTGTGCTCTGCAACAAGAAAAGCCACTGCTATGAGAAGCCCATGCACTGCAACTAGAGAGTAGTCCGCCACTTGCCGCAACTAGAGAAAAGCCTAGTTGAAAAAAAAGCTGCAACTAGAAAAGCCTAGAGAAAAGCCTAGAAAAGTGCAGCAAGGAAGACCCGGCACAGCCACAAAAAAGTAAATAAACAAATTAAACAAAGAAATAAATAAGTAAGATTGAGTGGGAAAGTGGGGTCAGATGGGCTTGTGGGGTTGCGGGCTGATTCTGGGTCATACACTATTTGAGGATTTGGGCTTTACCCTGAGCAAGGGGAAGGGGCAGGCAGCAATAAAAGGCAGTTCACTGCCAGGTGGAGGTGGCCAGGATGGCGGCAGGGAACCTAATGAGGAGGCATCCATGTGGAAGATGAGAGTGGTTTAGATTAGGGAGGTGGATGAAGAGGAGAAAAGAGAATAGTCATGTCATGCCACATGTAGGATCTTAGTCCCAGATCATGTGGGGCCTTAGCTCCCCTATCAGGGATCAAACTCATTCCCCCTCCAGTGGAAGTGTGGAGTCTTAACCACTGGACCATCGGGAAAGTCCCAAGAGAATGTCCCAAGGGAACTATATAGGGGGAAGGACGACTCAGGATAGACTGGCTATAGGAGGAAGGCAAGGGGGCTGAGAGGTTGTCTGATCTGTGTAACTAGGTGGGTGATGAGGCCTCCCTGCAGGTAAGAACACTGGGGGAGGCACAGGCTTGATGGTGGCTGGTGGAGGCTGGTGAGAGCTGGGTGGAAGCATGTGAGTTTGGTAAAAACCAGCTTTTAAGCCTGTCTTGGTTCTTGCAATGGGACAACATCAAGGCTGAAACTTTGATCATCAAGGCTGCCTTCACCCCATCTTGCCCCATCCCAACTTCAAGCCCATTTGACTTTTTGGGATGATCCTGGCAGGGGTCCCTTCCTGGTGACATTGTCAGGACCTCCACTGATCCCCAAACCACACTCTCAAAGGCGTCACCCAGGAGCTGGACATCCTGAGAATTTTCTCCACCCCTAAAAGATCATCTCATGTTACTCTGGGAGGAAGACAGGGTGAGGGGACCCTGAGGGTTGTGGTGTAGAAGATAAGACCTAACTGTCATGGGCTTTCTGCTTTGCAGATCTCTGTGAGGATAAGGACAGGAGTCAGACTGAGCCTGAACCCTGGCCTGGAGTCTTCCTAGCTTTATGACCATGAGCAAGTTTACCTTTCTGTGGCTAAATTTCCTCCATTATAATATTCCCACAGTAGCAGTACTTACATCATAGAGATATAAGGATTAAATGAGAGGATGTATGTAAAAGTGCCTGGTACATGATAGGTGCTAAATAATGGTAGAGCCGTTCTGATGATCTGATTCCCCCAAATTCTTAATGAGGAGCATGCCCTTCCCCACACCATCCACCCAAAAGGCCTTGCCTACGCTGCCCTGCCCTCCCCTTCCATCTCCTGTCCCAGTGCTCCCCATGATACTCACTCCACTTCATCCAGTTGTGGACCTTCCCGCAGCTGGGCTATGAGCACCTCCACATCATGGACCCCAAGCTGACACTTCTGGAGCCTGAAGTAAGGGTCAGAGCGGAGAAGCTCAAGGTCAGAAGCTACACTATGGCTCCTGTAGCTCTGAGTGTGGCTGCTGGGAGCTGGAGGAGCCAGGAGGCTGGCAGACCTGGGTCTAATCTTGGCCCTGTTTTTCAGTAGCCAAGTGACCTTAGACAAGGCACCTAACCTGTCTGAGACTCAGTTTCCTTCTCTACCAAATGGGGCTAATAACGTGTACTTTGCAGGGTTTTCAAAACAATTAAAATGAGGTAATGGATATAAAATATTACAGTGCCAAGCACAAAGCAAATCTGTTATCCGTTGAATAACAGATTTTAGTGTTGTTCTTATGACAGATGCTCCTGGTTCAGGCCAGGATGGCTTATTCACATCCTTTCCCTGCCACACATCTGCTTTTCCCTTTATCTTCCCTGCCCCTGCCATGCCTCCTCTGGGAAGGTACCATCTTCCCCACAACATGTCCCTCCCCTCAAGGCAATGGGTCCCACCAAGGTACCTGAGTGCCAGGCATCTCCTCTGAGCCTCTTTCCTCTGGTTGGCATTTCCCTGTAAGTCTGGGTCTCTGGCAAAAACAAATCCAACATTGGCTCAGGAGACCCAGGCATGATGGACCAAACCTCTTCCCTTAGTTTCTAGGAAATGATAACCCTACAGCATGACCCACAGTCAATGAGTAACAGAGACGGCTGCTTAAAAGTATTGAAGGCGCTATTAAACAAAGCAGCAGAAAACAAGGTCTGTAGTCAATTGGGACCTTGATTCAAATTCTGGTTCTGACATATTTAGCTGTGTGGCCTTGGGCAAGTCACTTCATCCATCTGAGCCTCCATTTTCTTTTTTCTAAAGTGGGATGACAACATCCAACACATAAAATGATTGAAGGGTTGAATGAGACAATGTATCGTCGAGTGTCCAGCATAGGCATAAAACTGAAGCTTAGTAGAAAGAAGCTGTTATTGTCCAAGATGTGATAGTCTTCACTTGTACTATCTGTGGTTCAGAAGGCTGGGAGCATGGATGGTACATAGGTGCAGATGGTGGGAAACCAAGAAAGTACTGGGGGCGGCAGGGAAGCTGGGGCATCATAGGTTTTCACCAACTTGTAGAGTGGTGCTGTCCAAAAGAACTTTCTGCAATGACAGAAATGTTTTCTATTTGTGGCATCCACTATGGGAGCCACTAGAGTCACTCATGGCCATTGAGCCCTTGAACAGTGGCTGAAGTGCCGATGAACTGAAATGTTCATTTTACTTAATGCTAATTAAAATAAAATTAAATAGCCAGAGGGGCATCATAGCTCTATGCAGTCAGAGGGTAAAAACATACTGGTCCTCCCAGATCCTTCTGAAAAAAGTGAAAGTGCTAATCGCTCAGTTGTGTCTGCCTCTTTACAACTCCCTGGACTACAGCCCACCAGGCTCCTCTGTCCATGAATTTTTCCAGGCAAGAATACTGGAGTGGGTAGCTATGCCCTTCTCCAGGGGATCTTCCCAAACCAGGGGCCAAACCTGGGTCTCCTGCATTGCAGGCAGATTGTTTACCATCTGAGCCACCAGGGAAATACCCCAGATCCTTGAATAGGTGAGCAAATTGAGGCTCAGAGCCTTATGAGGACATACAACTTCATTCATCTCTTGAGTCTCACAAGGGGGAGGTGTGAGAGAAACACACACAAAAAAATTTAATGGGATGGTAACTTCCCTATTTCTGCCCAGCCAGGAATGGCCAAGCTGGAATCCATGAACAGCTGAAACAGCCAGCATTTGTATGGCAACTGGATGCCAGCAGTGTTCTAAGCACTTTAAATGTGTTAATTTATTCAATTCTCAGAACAAGTCTAAGATGCTGAAACCATAATTGCCTTCCTTCTTTTTCAGTTGGAAGTGTTTCCCTGCCTAGTAATGCCAAGCTCACTGTGTCTTCATGCCCTCCCTAAGGGACTGATCACTCTGAGACTTCTGAGGATACCTTCTCATCACAGGAGCTGGATATGGTCCAGAGACACCAGAGAAAGCTAAATCCTTGGCCAACTCTGAGAAGTAAGTCATTTCTCAGGGAAGCAGTAGCGAGAAATTGATTCATTCCCTCATTCATCCACCCATCCATCCATTTATCTTTCCATTCATTCACTATTTATTGAGTATGAGGTGCCAGCCTGAGTTAGGCTCTGGAGATATCAATGTGAGTAAAACAGACTCACGCATACACACATAGGTCTTAAAGACCAGTGGCTGCCTCCTTTTCCCATCCCCTACTTTCTCCTCCCCTTTTTTCAAGACCCTCAAGGCCAGGACCCCAGTCTTGCTCACCTGACCTGGAGCATCCTGACGGTAGGGCACGTGACCGCCACCTTTGTCAAGGAGAGTAGTGTTGACACGGAGACACTGTTGCGGCTCAGGCTGCATGATTGTGGCAAAGGTGCCAGGAATGAATCCCCCTTCCCATCCACCCCAGACTCTCTCTGTCTCCAAAGAATGGGTGGGTGGGGGCAGGGTGTCTTAGGCAGGGGCAGTAGAAAGACAGCTTACTCAAGTTTCTGGAGCCGTGGTAGGCGAGAGAGTACCTTCACGATGTCCAGCACTTCCCTGTCCTTGAGCTGATTGTCCTGGAAGCTGCAGAGAGACCAAGGCCCAGTCCCTCAGCCCTGGAGTTGGGAGACTTGGGAACCCCAGTTAGCAGGTGACAGGCATGGCCATCATCATGCAGGAGACACAAGACAGGGGCCCACAAGAAGTTCATGGTATCCAGCAGTTCCAGGTGGGAGGAGAGGCCCTCTGATGGCCTCACTTCTGTCCCTGTTCAGTCCCCCTGGGGGAGTTTCTGCCTGGCGGCCCAGGGGATGCAGGTGATGGACACTGAGGTCTCATGAGGAAGGGGTGTAAAGACCCACGGCCCTGCACTCAGGGCTCTAACTCAGGATCTGCCTGAGACCTGAATTCATCAGGGTCTCTAGGCTCCCAGGTGATGAGCAGACTGGGACACAGAAGAAGCGGCTTCTGGCCTCATCTCTGGTTCTGATTCATCTAGAACCCTAGGTCAAGCACTGTCCTTTCTGACCTCACATTTCCCACCTGTCTGCAACCAGCCCTGCCTGGATTCCGAGCTGGAGGGACAAAAGAGATGAAGAGTGTAAGTAAGGGTGGCTCTGTGTGTAACCACTTGGTCAGGACAAAGGATTGGTGACAGTGAACTTGTTGACATTTACTTTTCTTTTGTAATTATTGAGAGTGACCTTCATCTTTTCTCCAATCACCCAGAGTGACTGTGAACAAAGACACCCAGCAGAGGGGGCGGAGTAGAGCTCAGTCCAGCTAATGCTCCTCTCAACAACCAGTGTACCCAGATGCTGGCTGCATCTGCCTGGACAAAGAGGTGACTTCTAAAGCTCATAAAGGTGCCATATAAGGTGGCAGAGGTCCTGCCAGGGAACTGCTGGGGAGGATCCCTGGCCCCACCCTTCTCAGGTCACACATCACAGATACAGGGAGGAGTATATTCGTGCGTATGTGTTTAGATGTGTATGTGGATCTAAGTGTGCAGGCATATTCTGCTGCATGTTTGCATGCAAGTGGGGCATGTACGTAAGTGAGCAGGTAAGTTTAAGTGTGTATATACATAACGTGCACTAAAGTGAAGGTATGTGCATGCTTCGTGCCTTTATGTGTACCCACCCAGCACCTGCCTACACACTGCCTTCCCTTCTCTCAGGGCCACAGAAAGAAGGAAAGTAGCCTCAAAACTCAAGCTCCTTCAAGATGGCCCAAAATACTAGCACTTCTATGGGAGCCTTGAGTTTGGACCCAGTCCCATCTGTTTCTCAGGCTGATGCCTCCTCTCTCTGGGTCTCACTGAAGAAGTAACAGAATACACAGTACCTAGTCCAGGCCCAAGGGGGGCCCTGGGCACTGAATCCTCTCCTCAGCCAGCAAGCCCTCTTGGAGATCACTCACCTGACCTCCTCCAGCTGTGGGCAGAGGGGCAAAGCCTGTACCAGGTGGCTGATGCCTCGAGCAGTGATCTTACTTCCTGCTAACCTACAAGGGAAGCAAAGATGGTGACAGGAATAGGGCTGGGGAAGGGGGTAGACCAGGAATCTGCCCTGTGTAGGGTTGAGGGAAGGGAGGGGAGTTTCAAGCATCCCCGGCTGAGGATGCGTCTTGGTTCCAAGGCCTGACTCACCCCAGCTTCTTCAGGCTCCCCATCGTTGGCAAGCTCCTGGAGAGGGCTTCTGCAAAGGCGTCCCCACACTTCCTACTCTTAAAGCTGCCACAGGAAGAGGCAAAATGGCAGAAGATCAAGGATGGCAGGGCTTAGAGGAGGTCATCATTTACCCCTCCTCTGAGAGGAGGAATTTAATACAGTAATGGCAGTAGTGCAGTAATAGTTGTTGTAATTGTTGCAGTAGTAACAAATACATATATGGCAAACACTGCCAACTGTCCACCAAAAGCTACCCTCCACTACAGCTGGAACTGTGAACATCGTTTTCCAGACAGAGGTGGTGTTTCCCAGCCTCAACTGCAGCTCAGTATTGACCCTATGACTCCAACTATGTTGTCACCACTGGAATGGGGGTGGAAAGGATGTGCCCTAGTTCCAGGATCAGCTTTAACACATTGGGCATGACTAATCCATCTTTTCTCTTCACTCTTCCCCCATGCCAGAGCACAGGTGTGTCTGTGACCATGCAAATCAAGATACCCTAGGAGATGATAGAGCAACCATGGAAGGAATCCAGGCTTGTGCATAATCATAGGAGCTGAGCCATCCCACTGACCTGGACCATTTACTTCTGAGTCTTCTATAAGAACAACAATAATAAAAACTACATTATTTAATCCACTGTATTTGGACAGGGAAGAGATGGTTTCTTTGTTACTGTACCCTAACCTTTTTTTTTTTTCTATCTACTACACATATTGAGCCTTTACTCTGTGCTGGGAATTGTATTAAGTGTTTTTAATACATTCTCAAAACAACCCTATGTGTTAGGTACAATTACTGATTCATTTGAGGGATAGGGAAACTCAGGTTGCAAGGTTAAAGAACCTGTCCAAACCCAATAGACTGTAATAGCACAGCCTGGATCGGTGTTCCAGCCCATGACTAAGGGAAAGAAAGGGAAAGATTGAATCCAGAAACCATGACTAGAGGACATCTAACTAGAGCCCAGAGTTCCTGGCAAGGCATGGAGCTTCCTCACTGTGTATAAGCTAAAGGGCAGTAAGGAGGGGCCCATCGGTTCTTTATATAATCAGTTAACTAATTTGGTCATGCCACATGGCTTCTGGGATCTTAATTTCCCAACCAGGGACTAAACCTGTGCCCTCGTCATTGAAAGCATGGTGTCCTAAATGCTGGACAACCGCAGAAGTCCCTGCTGTGATATTCAAGATTCTTGCTCTGCTTCTTTCAGCAGGGGTCTGCTAGACTGGCTGGCCTCCACTCCCCCCAAAGTCCAGTTCTCTCCCAGGGATGTCCCCAGGTCCTCCCCAGAGCTCCCCTGTCCTCACTCTCACCTGAGATTCTCTACCTGCCCACAGCCTGCCAGGGTTTCAGGGCAGCGGGGCTCCAGGGGGCAGCCCTCAAAATCCAGGTGGATGGGGCCATCCCTGTGCCCCAGGATGTTGGTCAGGGAGGCCAGGTCAGCGTAGGTCAGCAGGAAGTTGTGGAAGGGCAGCTGCTGGGGGAGGCTGTGGGCCATGAAGCCGGCCAACTCAGGCTCCTGCGTCTCACCCACACAGTGACACAGCTCGACAACCTTGGGCCCCGTGAGCCGACGGGTGGCCAACTTCCTCAGTGCCTGCAGGACTGCCGCCTGCTTGTCAGCCACCCACTCTTCCTCCCGCTGAGCCAGGAGGCTGAGGAAGGCGCGGCAGGCGTGGGACGCCAGGCCGGCCAGAAAGGTGGGAAGGTGGTCCAACAGGCCCAGCCTGGCTTTGGTCCGCTGCACCCAGCGAGAATGCAGGGTGACGTGTTGGCTGAGGGTCTCTCTGTCCACCTGGGGACTGGCCATCAGGTGCAGGGCCGCGAAGAACTCCTGCAGGCTGAGGTGGGAGAAGGCGTAGCCCGTGTCCTGGTGCCCGGGCCCCGTGCGCACGCAGAAAGAGGTCAGCAGGCCAAGGGCAGCCCCAAAGGCCAGGGTGGATGCAGGGATGTCTCCTGCAGAGAAGATGACCTTCCCTGACTTCAGGCCGCTCAGGGCCACCTCCCCGAGACCCAGCAGGGGCTCAGCAGGCAGGACCCCTCGGGGGTTGAGGGTGAGGAGCATCTGCACATAGTTCTGCGTCATGGTAGGCAGGAGGGCCGCCGACTGGCCTGGAGACCTGTCCGGGAGCAGGTGATGGAGGCAGAGGCAGGCGACTCGGCACAGCGCAGGCACTGCACACAGGCTCCAGAGGTGTCTGTCCGCGCGCAGCTCTGCCAGGGCCGCCTCCTGGGAAGGCTGGTCACTGAAGAAGTGGTTCACGTACTCCTCCACCCGCGGGCCGTCGAAGCCCCACATGTGGACCGTGGCCGCCTCGGTGGGCAGGCAGGCAGGCAGCTTCCCTGGACGGGAGGTGGCCATCACCCAGCAGCCAGGCAGGAGGGTCCCATGGCAGAGACGGGAGAAGAGGGTGAGGGCGGACGCCGGGTCCTCCGGATCCGCGGTCTCGCTGTCAGAGCAGGGCTGGAGGATCTCGTCCAGCCCGTCGAAGATCAGCAGGATTCCGTCCGCGTTCTCCTTCAGGTGCTGGAAGACAGCCTCGGGGCTGGCCTCGGGCCTCAGGTACACATCAAAAAGGAGTTGCGGCAGCGTCAAGGAACCTGTGATCAGGTTGAGCTGGCGGAATTCGAAAAGGAACACGGCCTGGAAGCGGTCCAGCTGACCATCAGCCCACTTCCGGCAGAGCCGGTGGGCCAGCGTGGTCTTGCCCATGCCTGCCTTCCCCAGAAGCACCCTCACTCTCGGGCCCTTGCTGGCCTTGGTACTGAAGAGGTCCCGAATGTTCACGAGGGCGCCATCTTCTGCCTTGGGGTCCCCTGTCACGGCACCCTCCTGCGTGTGGAAGGGCGCCGAGGCACGGCTCCATTGCAAGATTGGAGGGACGTAGGCTTGGTGGAAGGCCAACGGCTGCCCCGGCCCGGGGGTCCTGTCGCCATAGCGCTGCTGGGCAGAAGTTCTCAGTAGCTGCAGGTACCTCTTGGCCAACTCTGCAGGGGACAGGGAGATGGCATGAAAGCAGAAGGCCTCTCTGCCCCCAGCTCTTCTCCCTCCCCCCAGCCCCCCTCCCCCTCATCAGGTGGTTGGGATCCTGTCGCCTCAGCTCTGCATGTGTGTGTGGGTGTGAGCGTGGAGACAGCAAGGGCACACAGGTGGTCTTGTGCCACCCAAATTCCCAGAATTAACTGGCTGTACAGAAGCACAGGCTTTGGCTGCCGTTCACACATGGAAATAATGAATGGGGACATGTGGATCATGGCTCTGTTTGTTTTGCAGCAACGCAAGTGGCATAAAGTTTTCAAAGAGATGGGAGAGAGGAAGGGGGGGCACTTCCTTGGCGATATCTTATTGGAACAAACTTTTACGATGATTCCGGAGTAACCTGCCTTTGCCACCACCACTCCCCCCAACATTTCAGTTCTGCGAGGTCGAGGCTGAGCACCAACCACCTACGGGCCCAGGTTCTGACCAATCAGAACTTCTAAAACCGGTCAACGCCTACAGTGCCAGGTGTTGACTTGAACTGCTGAGTTATTTGGGAGATCTTTGGTAACTCAGGGGAGGGCGCAGGGTCACTGCTGAGGGGCACTGGAGATGCCCACAGGGAGGGGGGACCCCTGACATAGTGTCCTGTTTTATACAGATGTGAATCCTCTGACCAGCTGTGAATCCTCTGGCTGTGCCTGATGGGGCTGGATATCACAGCTGGTGGGACAGCTGGTGGAGAATGAGAGAAGCTTCTGTCTGTCCTGACTGGTCCTCAGTAGCCTCCACGTCTCCCCAGCGACTCCCAAGGATTCTATCCCAGCATCCAGCTGAGCCCTAACCCACCTAGGCTCTCAACGAGAGCCTAGTTCTGAGGTCACCCTGGTCATATCCCTGGGGTTCCCTAAACCCTGAGGACCTGGAAGCATCCCCAGAAAAGCCTGGATGATGGAGCTGCAACCTCCAGGATGCTTTGAGCTCCCTCATCTCTACAGAAGCCCTGCCCCTGGGGGCTTGGCAAGGCCTCCCTGCTAGATCCACCTCCGTCCTCTGCCCATCCAGGACCTCCTGGGAGCCTGGAAGACAAGAGCCCCTGACCAGCTAGAAGCCTGTGATTAGGGGACAGAGTCCAGGGTCTGGGTCCTTGCCCCAAGGCAATCCACTTCCCACCTTGGTACCCACCTTGTTGCTGCTTCCTGAGCTGTTTTGGACGAGGTGAGGACCCACAGCTCTGATGAGGCCGCTTGAGGCCTAGAAGGAAAGAAAAGAGGAGTAAGGGGTGAGGTTTGGGGACCCAGGCTGAGGAGGTACCCAGCACTTTCAGGGAGCTCCAATCCACAGACAGGCAGCAGCCAGACAAGTATATCTGCACTGAAGGACTGAGTGAAGGCCAACAGCAAGCCGAGGCTGTGTCCACATCAGCTTCTGTCTGCAGAGGGGTCCATGGGCCCAAGTGAGAGGGCTAGAGGCTCTGGGCCTGGGAACCTCCCAGCCCAGAATGGAGGGAGCCAGGCCCACAGCCAACAGCCTTAAGCACTAAACGACTTGGAAAGGACCCAGCTCTGTCAAGGGCACTCCTGGTTAGAAAAGTGGAGCTTCCCCCAGGCTTGGTCAGGCCTGTGCCTGCCCTCCTGCCCCCATGTGCTTTATTCCCCTTAGTTCCCCTCTTCCACACGTCCCCACTGCTCTTACTAGTCTCATGAGTTCTTGTCTGGATGCATGGATTTTCAAGAGCTAATAGTTTTCTAAAGAGGTTGGGAAAGGAAGGAGAACAAGAATGAAGGGGAGACAGAAAGGAAGGGAAGAAGAAAGAAAGAGGACGAAGAAAGGATTTTAAGAAGTAAAGTAGGGGACTTCCCTGGTGATCCGGTAGTTAAGACTTCACCTTCCAATGCAGGGGGTGCGGGATGGGTTCCTGGTAGGGGAGCTAAGATCTCACAAGACTCAGGACCAAAAAACCAAAATGCAGAAGTAAAGTTGTAACAAACATAATAGAGACTTTAAAAATGGTCCACATTAAAAAAAAAGTCTAAAATAAAATTAAAGAAGTAAAGGTGGGTACTCCTAGGGCCAGGCATTAGTGATCAATCAGACTGGCCCTGAAGTAGGTCCCTTGCCCTGGCAGGTGTTAAATTTGTAGTTGCTGATTTGTGGGGAAAGCCAGGGGTCCCAAAGAGGGGCTGCAATCAGTCTAAGAGTGTATGCATACATATATATAGCCAAGTGTGTATACTTGGCTACATTGTGTGGCTTGCAGGATCTTTGTTCCCCAGCCAGGGACTGATCCTGGGCCCCTGTCAGTGAGAGCACAGAGTCCTAACCACTGGACTGCCAGGGAATTCCCTTGTATTTCAATATTTTAATAAATCTTCTACTAATAAGGGACTCCTTAGCTAAATATCAACCAGACCTAGTTACAGCCAGGTGACAATTATGCCATCTCAGTGATAAGGGACAGAAGGACCAGGTATCAGTTTTGATTTGTTGGGGAGCTAGGATAGGGCTTCCCTGGTGGCTCAGTGGTAAAGAATCAGCCTGTAATGGAGGGAACATGAGTTTTATCCCTGGGTTGGGAAGATCCCCTGGAGCAGGGAATGGCACCCCACTCCAGTATTCTTGCCTGGAGAATCCCAAGGACAGAGGAGTCTGATGGGCTATGGTCCAAAAGGATGTTTTCTGTTAAAGCCTGGTGATGTTACCACCATGTACACCTGTAAGTAAAAAGTCAGCAGTTCTAGAAATAAAGGTTCGGAAACCACAGAAACATCATACTCAATGGTCAAAGACTATAAGTTTTTCCTCTAAGATCAGGAAAAAGGTATTCACCACATCTATTCAACATAAAACGCAGTTCTAACCAGAGCAATTAGGTGAGAAAAAGAGATAAAAGACGTCCAAATTGAAAAAGAGAAGTAAAATCATCTCTGTTTGTAAATGATAGGATCTTATATGTAGAAAACTCTAAAGACACCACAAAAAAAAGCTGTTAGAACTAATAAGTGAAACCAGCAAAGTAGCAGGAATAAAAAGTCAACACAAAAAGTCAGCTACATTTCTATACACAAACAGTCAGAAAAAAAAAACTACCAAAACAACTCCATTTACAATAGCATCAAAAAGAACCAGTACTTAGGAATTAACTTAACCAAGAAAGTGAAAGATTTGTACAATGACAACTACAAAATGTTGTAGGAAGAAATGAAAAAGGATATAAATAAATGAAACGATATCACATACTCATGGATTAGAAGACTTACTAATGTTGAAAATATCAATACTATCCTCTGGAGCAGAAAATGGCAGCCCCTCCAGTAGTCTGGAGGGATACAGTTCATGGGGTCCCAAAGAGTCAGACACGACTGAGTGCCTCTCACATGGCCTGATGGTTGTGCAACAACGTGAATGTGTTTAATACACTGAACTGTACACTTTAAAATGGTTAAGATGGTAAATTTGACGCTATGTAATTGACCATGGTTATAAAAGAAAGATGGAACAAAAAGGAAAGAAAAGTTGTGAAGAGTGCGGTGAATCAGTGAGATGGACCATCTTATCACTGAGCTCCCTGTGCCCCACCAGAAAACCAGTCAGAGGCTCCCTGGGTGTGGACGGCAGACTACGGGTCAGTGTCAGGCCTGAGGGTGTCCAAATGGTGAGAGGCCTGCATCTGTGGGCTTGGAGCCTGAGGCCCTGAGGTTTGGGGACAGGGAAGTGAGAACGGGCTTCCCCAGGTGAGACCAGGTGGGGGATTCCGGCAGTGGCTAAGGGCTGACAACCTCAAACTCTCCCAGGAGGCTCCAGGTGAGACCCATGGGGAAAGCTATCAGACATGCCAAAGCCTTGAGGGGCAGAAACGGGGTGCAGGCGAGCCTGGGAGCCCTGGTGAGGGGCATGGGAAATGCGCAAATGGGTCTAAGCATGAGGAGGCTAGTTTACGGAAAATGGCTCTGACCAGCCACCACCAGCCTGTTCTGCGTTCGAGGTGGGGGACTTAGCGTGCACCCACCCTCCACATCCCACCCCTACTCCCCAACCCCAGGCCTTACCAGGGTGGAGCTGAGAGTCTGATTGGCTTTCCTCGCCAATTTCCAGAAAACTGGGGAAGCCTGAAAGAGGGAAGCAGATGATATGCCATGGGGATGTGCGCGAGGATGCCCTGGGACCAGCTCTGGCTCCGTGTCTGGCTCAGGGCTCATCCCTCAGGGGGTGTTTCTAGCAAGCCAGAAATCCACACTTGTCAGTCCGTGGAGGGCACAGCTGGCAGTGAGCCCTGAAGGCAGCTGTGGGCAGAAATACGTGCATAACTAAAGGTCTGTGCACATACAAGTATGTGGGTGCACGCACGTGTTCATCATGCCTGTGCACAGGTTCACACCTGTGTATCCACGCCTGTGTACACTGTGCACCCCCGCCTGGCCTGTACTCTGCTGCTGAGTTACTGAGTGAGCTCTCGCTTCCTCTCCAAGAACACAATCACTGTTCTGAGCTTCCCCACAGTGCTCTGTAAATGGAAGAGCCCAAGGGACGTTCACTGAACAGGACAGAGTCCAATCAGCCTGCCCCTAAGTGGCGGCCAGAGTGCTCTCCCTAGGACTGTTGTTTTTTTTTTTTTGCAAAAAGAAACCTCTTGGGCAGTATGGGCTATCAGGAATTTCCTGGCAGGAAGGAGTCACCTGGTCCTTTCTCTCTGCATCCTGCCTTTCTGGGCAACTGGGGTGGTACCAGGTGGAAGGAGGAGTCCTCCAGGTCCCCAGCAGACTTGGTGGCATTAGGCATTTGCTCTGAGAGGTGTACAGAAACACGGAAGTTTGTTCCTGGCTTGGCCACACATCTCTGTGTGACCCAGGCAAGTCCTGGCCTTGCCTGGGGCTCTCTGGCTCCCCCGGCTCTGGGCACTAGCTGGCGGCATTGCAGCTCCCACGGCCACTCTTACCGTCTTCGTGGCCCCACGTGCTCATCAGCGGCACCTCCATGTCCAGCGGCACATCCTGCTCCATGCACACGCAGTGGATGAATGACTTCCAGGTGGTCGGACCCTGGGTATGCAGCTTTTGGAGTATCAGGATGACCCTCTGTGTGGGGTCTAGGGCCTGATTTCCAGAGCCCAGGTCCATATTGGGGAGGAGTAACTTCACCTTGGCGTTTAGCCATTCTAGGTCTCTGCTGAGCAGCCTCACGAGACATCCATGCAGGTTCCTGGTGCCCAGTTGGAGACTAATGGGGTCCATGAGGAGCTGACCCTGCAGGGACCAGGTAGGCAGGTGAGCTGCGAAGTAGGTGAGCTGGGGGACAGGTGAGCTGAGGGAAAGCTAGGAGCAGCAGTCAGAAACCACTCCCCACAGCTAAAGAGAAGAGAAGCGATGGACACAGAAGATAGAGAAGTGGTCTCTCTGTAGTGTCTTGATGCCATTGCCCAGAGCTCAGGCGCAGAAATTAATCTCCTTCTTCTGTATTCTCTGCCAAAATAATTCATGCCTATGTCATGGGTCTGGATGGTTTAGTTCATCCCCTGTGGATGATGCCCTGATAATGCTTTATTTGTTCTTATTTCTATGGACCCATTTGTGCTGCTCTCTGTCTGAGCTAAGTTTTCTCTGGCAGAGACAACTAGCTGTCCCCCCACATTTGTTCTTCTCTTCTTTCTTAGTACTAGAACCCCTAAATATTCCCTAGTTATCTGAAATAGACTATTTCCGAGCCTCCCTTGCAGCTAGATATACTCAGGTAATTAAATTCTGGCCAATGAGACGTCGGTGGAAACGCTGTATATCATTCTTAACCTCTTTTTGTTGGCTGGAATGCTGATGTGATGGACAAACCTCGGGCAGACATTATTGGATTGCGAGGTAGAAGCCAGAACTGAGGAAGGTGGAGAGTGAAGCTTTCCTGTCCTGGACTCTCTGACTTTGAATTTCTAATACATGACAAGGAAATTCATTTCTGTTCTGTTTAAAGTACTGTTGCTTAGGCCCTTTTGCTACTCACAGTGAAATATAATCCTAGCTAATACAGACCCTCTCTTCTTTCTAAGCAAATTCTTCCCTTCTAAACTGGAACTCAAACAACTTGCTGGTAGGAGTATTAAAATGAGGCAAGGAGCACTTATTTTGTGAAAGCTTAAAAAGTCTGAAGACCCTTTGATTCAGCAATTACATTTCTAATATGCTGGCCTTGGGACACAATCATGGACTTAAACAGAATTTTTAGTTAAAAAGCTGTGCACTGTAAGAGTATTTTTAACAGTTAAAACCTGGAAGCAGCCTAAATATCCAACAGTTAGAGATTAACCGGTTATCCATCACATGGTGGAATATACTAGAACATTTCCAAATGTATTTTCTGGCACTATTGTCTTAAAAATAGAGAGAAATGCTCAGAAAGCATTTACTGTGTGTTAGGCACTGTTTTATGTGCCTTATGTGTCTCATCAAATCCTCACAACTCCAGAGACTTCATTTCCAACCCTGAAAAAGATAGGAGGCCCACGCAGGGACCAGCCTTATCAACTCCCAGACGCTGGGGCCAACACCATGGGTTCTGGGGTTCAGACTCCAGCTTCTCCCTTGACCCCCAGCAGAGACCTAGTGGGCACATGTCCCCAGCTCCTTCTGGTCACCCCTCTTCAACCAAACTAATAGCAACAACTCCTTGCTCAGGCACAGAGTTTGAGACTTCAAGAAATATGCTCACATCTATGGCGTGGGCAGGGATCACTGTCCCCACTCAACAGATGAAAAGGCTAAGCTGGGGATGGGTAAAGGACATACCCGAGATCATCATGTAAGTCCATGGAGGACACATGCTCAGAACTGAGATTTCTTACCTCTCAGGCCAGTTAATTTCCAAGGCTTGGGAACCCTAGGCGGCACCAGACAAGGGATAATCTCTGGCTTCTGTGTGATCTTGGCACAAGGATGAGACCACAGCCTATGGCATGGCTTCTTTTCCAGGCTAGAGTGTCCAAAGTCCATGCGGCCCATAAAGAACTCATCCAGGGCAGCAAGGCGCCAGGCGGAAGTGAGGAGTGCCTGGATGGTATAATTTCTGGGAAAGTCCTTCAAATTCAAATTTCTCCCCCAGCCAGTCTAACATGATGCCTTTGTTTCCACCATGAGTGCTCTGTCCCCTTGGAATAAGACATTAAGCTCTTTAAAAATAACCAGCCCTGGAAGAAAAAACACATTATATCATTATTGGTCATTGTGAAAGTCAGTAGCAAACAGCCTTGGAAACAGAGGATTATAGTAGAAAGATCCTCAGTGAAGGGATGGTCACTGACCTGGCTCCCTGGTTCACCATAGATATTCTAGGATGTCCACAGAGAGGGTCTCCTGAGTTCCTAGGCCAAGTCCTGGAGTTGGATTTTCAGGTTCTTTCCATAGGATAGGCTCCTAAGAGAGAGGAGACAGACCACTCAATCATCATTATTCCGCATCCCAAGAGGAATTCTGTAAAGAAGGCACTGACCCTTATTCCTAACTCCTCTGAGGACATCAACCCAGAAACAGCCTTCTCATCTTCATGTACAGATCTCATTCCTTCCCAAGCAAGATTCTTCTTGTCCCTGGACTGGGCACTGCCCAGCCCTCCGTGGTGTCACTTCCCGCCACATCTGGCCCAGAGGATGACCCTCTTACTCTGCCAATTTGAATATTCCCCTTACAGTGACTTGTTACGTCACTAAATACCCCTCCAATCCAGTAGATTTATTACAGCTGATTTATTATATGAAGATGGAATAACCCTTACTAAAGCTGTCAGCCTTCTTTCCTAATAAAACCTCAAAGAGGTTAGAATGTGCAGTTTTCTCTCTTAATACATCATGAAGAAGTTTCTAAATAATTGAGAGTAAACATCCTTCTTAATGAGAAAACCCAGAGGTACTGATCACTGTCTCACCAAGAGAACAGCAAAACGATGATCAGTTTATTAGTTTTATTTTATTAGCTCCTTTATTATAATAACTATAAATGAAGTATGACCTGTAGAAATTGTGAATCACTATGCTGCATAACTGTAATTTATATAATATTTTATATTAACCATATCTCAATAAAAAATAAAATAAGAACATCCCTGGTGGTACAGTGGATAGGAATCCGCTTGCCAATGCAGGCAATGTGGATTTGATCCCTGGTCTGGGAAAATTCCACATGCCATGGAGGAACTAAGCCCGTGTGCTACAACTCCTGAGACTCCACTCCAGAACTCCTGAGCCTGAGGGCTGCAACTACTGAAGCCCATAGACTAGAACCTCTGCTCTGCAACAAGAGAAGCCACAGCAATGAGAAACCCACACACCTCGACTAGAGAATAGCCCTGCCCATCACTTTTAGAGAAAGCCCATCACAGCAATGAAGATCCAGCATAACCAAAAATGAAAATAGACAAATAGCGCTTCCCCGGTGGTTCAGTGGTAAAGAATCCGCCTGCCAACGCAGTAGACACAGGCTCAATCCCTGATCTGGGAAAAGCCCACATGCTGTGGGCCACAACCATTGGGCCTGTGCTCTAGAGCCCAGGAGCTGCGACTACTGAGCCCACGTGCCACAACTACTGAAGCCTGTGCTCTGCAACGAGGGAAGTCACAGCAAGGAGAAGCCTGAGCACTGCAGCTGGAGGGTAGCCCCCGGCTGCCACAGCTCAAGAAAAAAGCCCAAGCAGTCATGAAGACCCAGAACAGCCATACATAAATAAATAAGTATAAAATAAAATGACACTGGTACAAACGTCTATGTAACACTGCTTCAGCGATCTTGTCTAACAATAAGGAACGGACAAAAGAAAAGATGGCTAAAAAGTATATGGAAGAATGGAAGAAAGGCAAAAGATCAAAGGATGCACTGATGGAGTATCTAAGAAGTATGAGGAAGGTAACAACAAAGTTCCAGACTTCAGATCAATCCACATCAACAGGGCACATTTTATAGAGAGCCCAGAAACAAACTCACACAGCTACGGTCAGTTAATCTTTGACAAAGGAGGCAAGAATACAATGGGGGAAAGACAGTCTCTTCAGCAAGTGGTACTGAAAAAGCTGGACAATGGTATGTAAATCAATGAAATTGATTTCCACCTCACACCATGCACAGCAATAAACTCAAAATGGCCTAACAATTATACAACATGACACCATAAAACTCCTAGAAGAGAACATAGGCAAAACCTTCTCTGACATAAATAGCACCAATATTTTCTTAGGTCAGTCTCCCAAGGCAATAGAAATAAAACCAAAAATAAACAAATGCGACCTAGTCAAATATACAAGCTTTTGTATAGAAAAGGAAACCATAAACAAAACTAGAAGACAACCTATTGACTGGGAGAAAATATCTGCAAATAATGCAATAGACAAGGGCTTAATTTCCAAAATATACAAACAGCTCATAGAACTTGGTAACAAAAGAAACAATTCAATCAAAAAATGGGCAGAAGATCTAAATAGATATTTCTCCAAAGAAGACACATAGATGGCCAATAGGCACATAAAAAGATGTTTATTCAACATTGCTAATTACTAGAGAAATGCAAATCAAGACTATGATGAGGTACCACTTCACACCAGTCAGAATGACCATCATTAAAAAGTCTACAAACAACAAGTGCTGGAGAGAGAGTGGAGAAAAGGTACAAATAGCGCTTCCCCGGTGGTTCAGTGGTAAAGAATCCGCCTGCCAACGCAGTAGACACAGGCTCAATCCCTGATCTGGGAAAAGCCCACATGCTGTGGGCCACAACCATTGGGCCTGTGCTCTAGAGCCCAGGAGCTGCGACTACTGAGCCCACGTGCCACAACTACTGAAGCCTGTGCTCTGCAACGAGGGAAGTCACAGCAAGGAGAAGCCTGAGCACTGCAGCTGGAGGGTAGCCCCCGGCTGCCACAGCTCAAGAAAAAAGCCCAAGCAGTCATGAAGACCCAGAACAGCCATACATAAATAAATAAGTATAAAATAAAATGACACTGGTACAAACGTCTATGTAACACTGCTTCAGCGATCTTGTCTAACAATAAGGAACGGACAAAAGAAAAGATGGCTAAAAAGTATATGGAAGAATGGAAGAAAGGCAAAAGATCAAAGGATGCACTGATGGAGTATCTAAGAAGTATGAGGAAGGTAACAACAAAGTTCCAGACTTCAGATCAATCCACATCAACAGGGCACATTTTATAGAGAGCCCAGAAACAAACTCACACAGCTACGGTCAGTTAATCTTTGACAAAGGAGGCAAGAATACAATGGGGGAAAGACAGTCTCTTCAGCAAGTGGTACTGAAAAAGCTGGACAATGGTATGTAAATCAATGAAATTGATTTCCACCTCACACCATGCACAGCAATAAACTCAAAATGGCCTAACAATTATACAACATGACATCATAAAACTCCTAGAAGAGAACATAGGCAAAACCTTCTCTGACATAAATAGCACCAATATTTTCTTAGGTCAGTCTCCCAAGGCAATAGAAATAAAACCAAAAATAAACAAATGCGACCTAGTCAAATATACAAGCTTTTGTATAGAAAAGGAAACCATAAACAAAACTAGAAGACAACCTATTGACTGGGAGAAAATATCTGCAAATAATGCAATAGACAAGGGCTTAATTTCCAAAATATACAAACAGCTCATAGAACTTGGTAACAAAAGAAACAATTCAATCAAAAAATGGGCAGAAGATCTAAATAGATATTTCTCCAAAGAAGACACATAGATGGCCAATAGGCACATAAAAAGATGTTTATTCAACATTGCTAATTACTAGAGAAATGCAAATCAAGACTATGATGAGGTACCACTTCACACCAGTCAGAATGACCATCATTAAAAAGTCTACAAACAACAAGTGCTGGAGAGAGAGTGGAGAAAAGGGAGCCCTCCTGCACTGTGGTAAATTGGTGCAGCCAATAAGGAGAACAGTATGGAAATTCTTCAAAAAACTAAAAATAGAATTACCATGTGATTCAGCAACCCTACTCCTGGACAAAACCCAGACAAAACTATAATTCAAAAAGATACACATGCCGCTATGTTCACAGCAGCACTATGTGCAACAGCCAAGACATGAAAACAACCTAAATGTCCACTGACAGATGAATGGATAAAGAGCATGTGGTACATATATACAGTGGAATAGTACTCAGCCATAAAAAGAATGAAATGGTGCCATTGGCAGCAACATGAATTGAATGAGAGATTATCATACTAAGTGAAGTAGGTTATAAAGAGAAAGAGAAACACCATATGATATCACTCATATGTAGAATCTAAAATATGACACAAATGGAACAAAGCAAGAACAGACCCACAGAGAATAGACTTTGGTTGCCAGTGGGGAGGGGCAGTCGGGGAGGGAATGGATTGGGAGTTTGGGATAATCAGATGCAAACTATTATGCATCGAGTAGATAAAAGACAAGTTCCAGATTCTTTACCATCTGAGCCACCAAGGAAGCCCATGTATAGCACAGGGAACTATGTTCAATATCTATAATAAACCATAATTGAAAACAATATGAAAAATAACACAGACATACGTATAACTGAATCACTTTGTTGTATAGCAGAAATTAACAACACTGTAAGTCAACTATACTTTAATAATATAAATTTTAAAAAAGAAGAGCACGTTCTAATATAACAGAGGTAAGTACTGTACTTGGAAATTAAAAAAAAAAAAAACATAGCCAGTTGAAGATCTATTGGGGTAATAATGGTTTTCTTAAAAAAGAAAACTGTCAGATTATAACAGGAGAAATGAGGAAAAGTATGAACAAATGGAGATAAAGCCTTGCTATGGACTGGATGTTTGTGTTCCCCCAAGATTTATATGACGAAGCTTAAGTCTGCAGTGTAAGGGTGTTTGGAGGCAGAGCCTTTGGGAGGTAATTAGGTCATGAGGATGGAGCCCTCACGATGGAGTCAGCGCCCTTATAAGAAAAGGCAGGAGAGATGTGCTTCCTCTCCCTGCTCACAGCCCTGTGAGGAGGATAATACGAGGAGGCCACCCCCAATCAGGAAGAGGGTCCTTGCCAGACACTGGATCTGCTGGCACCTTGATCTTGGACTTCCCAGCCTCCAGAACTGTGAGAAATCAACGTGTATTGCATAAGCCATCCAGTCTATGGTATTCTGTTATGACAGCCAGAATTGCTATAACAGACTAAGACAAGCCTGCTTGTGACTACGAAAGTAAAAGAAAGAAAACCTCTAACTTAATAGGCATATTTAAAGCAATGCCTTAAAAACAACACAATAGGATACTTCAGAGAACTTGGTAAAATTACAGTAATGATCATTTAGACAATAATGGCAGCTATGACAACTGTTTGCGTGTCTTAACTATTTCATAAAAAACATTTTGAACTAGAATTAGTAAAGAAAAAAATGAAGG